GTGAGGTTCTTTGCCTCACCTCTGTTGGCCCCCAAATTTTAGCTGGACGATCATGACAAGCAGAAGGGAGGAAGATACACCAAGCCAATTGACGGCTCCTTTTGGAAAAATTGTACCACCGATGACATCATCAGCAAAAATACCCCAACACTACCACAAGTCGCTACACCAACAGATAGTTCACAATGCATACAGGTGAGTTCACAATGTGTCCAGGCAAGTTCTGCAAGCAGTTCAGTGATGGCTATTGCAGAAGCTGTAGATTGGTTTTATCTTTGACTTCACCAGCACTGGGATGAAGATAGGAATTCTGGCAATAATGGCTAAAGAAAAAATTATGTAACATTACAGAAGGCACTAAAAGAAAACAATTTTCTTAACAATTTACATTGTCTTCACCGGCACTGGGATGAAGATAGGAATTCTGGCAATAATGGCTAAAGAAAAAATTATGTAACATTACAGAAGGCACTAAAAGAAAACAATTTTCTTAACAATTTACATTATCTTTAAGAGAATTATTAAATATAATGAAAAGGAAAGGTGAAAGTAAACAAACAGATCTGTTAACCTCCTTTTTTGTTCACATATTAAAACAATCCTCAACAGTTGTTTACCCAATTTAAATTAAACCATTTAAATCACGTGAATAAAAATATATATATATTTGGATCCATTTTTTCATGAGCGCTCATCATATATGATATATGGACATACGTACATTCAAACATATAACACAAAACACAAGTGTGCACACATAATATAATACATACAACACATAACATAATAGTAAAGGCCTTATAACTTTTTACAGGTGAAATTTCCATTGCAATGTTTAAAAACTCTATAGTCAAAAAAATAGAACTGATCAGCAAAACATTAACCTAGGTCTGTATGAGCTCAAAAAACAAAATAGAATGTGGGAAAGGGCAATAATAAAATTGATATTGAAAAAAGCATCCTGGTTCTATCGCAGATGTAAGGATAGCCAAACTGGAGTTTTGGATATCAGCTGTTATGGACTTGAGTCAAATCATCTTCTTTTTGGTCTGTAGAAATCGCTTTAGTTAATCTCTCTGGAATCCAAATCGGCTGCTGTTCTCCCTGTGGAAACACACAAACAGACCCCCGACTCCAGACAATTACTGGGTCAGGACCTTTCCATTGTCCTGTTAGAATATCCTTCCAAAGTACCTTGGGCTTATGCACATTTTTTGGACACATATGCCTTTCCGCAGCACTAAGTCCTGATGAATCCAAATTTAAAAAGTTTAGAGTAAAAAGGGTTATTTTAAGTTTATCTTTGGGGAATATATACCCCTTCCCAATTCCATCTTTTTGCTTTAATAAGTACATTTTAATAGTTTGATGAGCTCTTTCAACTATACCTTGTCCATGTGGATTGTATGGGATTCCTGTTATATGAGTAATGCCAAATGATGAGCAAAATTGTTTAAAAGAGGTAGAAGTATAACCAGGGGCATTATCTGTTTTTAACTGTTTTGGAACACCCACAGTGGCAAAATTTTGTAAGCAATGAGCTATAACATCTTTAGTTTTTTCTCCAGCATGAAGGGAGACCATCAAAAATCCAGAAGAAGTATCAACTGTAACATGCAAATATTTTAATTTTCCAAATTCTGGCAAGTGTGTGGCATCCATCTGCCAAATATGGTTAGGTATCAATCCTCTAGGATTGACTCCAAGATTAACTTGTGGTAAAAAGGTCACACAATTTTGACATTGTTTGATTATTTGTCTAGCTTGTTCCTTAGTTATTTTAAAACGCTTTTGTAAAGTATTAGCATTGACATGGAACCTTTTATGAAAATTTATAGCTTCTTCTAGTGTAGAGAAAATATGTATGTCATGTGTAGTTTTATCTGCTAAATCATTGCCCAAACTAAGGGCTCCAGGCAATCCTGTATGTGCCCTGATATGTCCTATAAAGAATGGATCTTTTCTGTCCCAGATTAGACTTTGTATAGTGGAAAGCAAAGAGAAAACAGTAGAAGAAGGGGAAATCCTACCAGCATCTTCAAGAGATACTATAGCATTAACTACATACTGACTATCAGAAAATAAATTAAATACAGAATCTTTAAACATCACAAAAGCTTGTAAAACTGCATTAAGCTCTACCTTTTGAGCTGATTGTTTGGGTACTAAAAATGTAAAAGTTTGATCAGGGGTAACTATTGCTGCTGTACCATTATTTGATCCATCGGTGAATATATTTGGAGCATTCATGATAGGTGTTTTTCTTGTCATTTTTGGAAAAATTACAGGATGCGATGACCAAAAAGAAAATAAAGGATTAGATGGTAAGTGGTTATCAAATGAAACATTAGATTTGCACATGATTATTGCCCAAGTATTTAACTCATTAGCTAACTCATCAATTTGATTCATAGTATATGGAGTAATAATTTTATTGGGAGAAATTCCAAACACTCCCTTTGCTGCTTTTATTCCTTTGAGTATTAATTGTCCTACAGCCTCAGGATACCTAGTAAGAATAGTGTTAGGAGAATAAGATAAATGTATCCATAATAATGGACCTTCTTGCCAAAATACTCCTGTAGGAATATTTTTTGTTGGTAGTACAATAAATAATAAAGGCAAACTTATATCAATTCTATCCAAATGCATATTTTCCATATATGTTTCAATGATTTTTAATGCCTTTCTTGCTTCAGGCGTTAACATTCGGGGTGAATTTGGATCTGATGGACCTTTTAGGATATCAAATAAAGGTCCCAACTCTCCTGTTGGTATACCTAAATAAGGCCTTATCCAATTTATGTCTCCTAATAACTTTTGAAAGTCATTAAGTGATTTGAGTTGATCTACTCGAATTTGAATTTATGGTGGACGGACCATGGTTGAGGATAATAGAACTCCTAAATAATTAATTGGAAAATTTAATTGTACTTTATCTATTGCTATCTCTAGATTATAATTTTTTAATAAGTTTGTAAGTGTGGCATAACATTCTAGCAATGTGTTTTTATCTTTGTGTGCTAATAATACATCATCCATATAGTGAAATATTTGTAGTTCAGAATTTTGATTTCTAAGTGGCTGGATTGCTTTGTTAACATAAATTTGACACATAGTTGGGCTGTTAGCCATCCCTTGAGGGAGTACTTTCCATTCATATCTCTGATCAGGACCTTCATGATTCAGTGCAGGGATAGTAAATGCAAAACATGGACTATCCTCAGGATGAATTGGAATTGAAAAAAAACAATCTTTAATATCTATAACTAAAACATACCAGGTTTTTGGCAAAGCAGACAATTGAGGAATCCCTGATTGAGCAGGTCCCATAATAACCATCTCATTATTAATGGCTCTTAAATCTTGCAATAATCTCCATTTACCAGATTTCTTTTTGATGACAAAAATGGGAGTATTATGGGGAGATACAGAAGGTTGTATATGTCCTTCCGCTAATTGTTGTTTGACCGGGTCATGGGCTGCTTGTATCTTTTCTTTAGTCAGGGGCCACTGAGGAACCCATACTGGTCTTTCTGATTTCCAAGTAATTTTTATTGTCTCAGTGGCCCTTTCTGAAAATCCAACCCATGTCTGTCTGTTCCTTGATCTATTTGTATTGGTGCTGCTATACCTTGTTCTTGTTTTTCTAATCTTTTTCCTTTCCTAAAACCTTGTCTAGTCATAATAGTGGGTGCATTTTGGTTGATGTTATTTGTTAATGTCAAACCTAATTGATCTAGGACATCTCGTCCCCATAAATTTATGGGAAGATGATCCAATACATATGGCTGTATAGTTCCTTCACATCCTTCAGGATCCTTCCAATCTAATACCATTGCACTTCTATGGGGATTAGTCGCCACTCCTAGGCCTCGAAGCGTTTGAGTGGCTTGTTGTAATGGCCAATGTTTTGGCCATTCTTGACGAGAGATGATGCTAAGGTCTGCACCTGTATCCAGTAGCCCATTAAATTCATGTCCTTGAATATTTAGTTTTAGCATGGGGCGAGAATCTAAATTTAAAGAAAGCATAGCCCAATCTACACCTGTGGAGCCTAATCCCTTGGAACCTCTTTCTACAGTACGACTGGAAAATTTATCATGTAGGCTGGGTATTATTAGTAAATGTGCTATTCTATCTCCTGGTGAAATTACTGATATACCCTTTGGAGAACTGGCTATAATTTTTATTTCACCTTCATAATCGGGATCAATTACCCCAGGACTTATCATAAGTCCTTTTAGAGTAGAAGAGCTGCGTCCCAATAATAAGCCTACTGTTCCTTTGGGAAGAGGTCCTTTCACCCCTGTGGGAATGATTTGAACTCCCATCTCTGGAGTTAGTACTGCTCTGGCGGAGGCGCAGATGTCCAACCGTGCGCTCCCTCTGGTTTGTCTGGTGAGGGATCTGATGGACAATGTGTCCTGGGCACTACCCTGATGGGGTTGCTGGGTTCCTCCAGTGCTCCGTATATTTGTGGTTTTGGGCCCCGGAGCATTGGGCCCCCTTGTCCATTTTTTGGCAATGGAGCCTGATGCCTTTCTCCACGATATCGTGGATAAACACCTGGTCCTTGTTCGTTTTTTGATAATGGAGTACCCTCTATGGTGGTTTGAGAATGGCATTCATTAGCCCAATGTCTCCCTCTATGGCATCGTGGGCAAATACCTGGTATTCTACTCCTTTGATACCTAGTTTTGTTAAACCCTCCTCCAATGGGGCAATTCCTTTTAAAATGTCCTGTTTGTTCACAATTGTAGCATGTTCTTGGCCTGGCATCTAAAGCCTGTTTTACTGCAGCTGCCACAATTTGCCCTTGTTCATTAATGTCTCTGGCATCTAAAGCCTGTTTTACTGCAGCTGCCACAACTTGCTCTTGTTCATTAATGTCTCTACATAATTTAATATATGTGTTTAAATCTTCATGTTTCCATGGTCTAATGATATCTCTGCACCAACGATTCGCTTGCTCATAAGCCAGGTGTTTTAGTAATGGCATTGCTTGTTCTGTATTCCCAAAAACTCTGGTAGCTGTTTGAATAAGCCTATCTACAAATTCAGCATAAGGTTCATTAGCTCCTTGTATTACCTTAGATAATTGACCTTGTAAACCTCCATGTCCTTGTAAAGTCTTCCATGCCTTAATTGCATCTGCAGCAATTTGTGCGTATACGCCAGGATCATATGCAATTTGTTGCTGCTGATCCTCATAAGGTCCCTTTCCTAACAACATATCTAGATTTCTCTGAGGATAACCAGCTGCTGCATTTCGCCTAGCCGTCTCCTTGCAAAATTCCTCATTGGCAACCTTCCATAACAGGTATTGTCCTCCATTTAGCACAGCTTTACACATATTAGCCCATCTGCTGGCGTCATGTCCAAGTTGTTAATGGATTCGACCATGCTTACAGTGAAGGGTGCTTGAGGACCATAGGTTGTTACAGCCTCTTTTAGCTGCTTCACTGTTTTGAAATTTAAAACATGGTAAACTCGCTGCCCTCCTGCCTCAAATACAGGGCATGTTAATATTTGAGATCTTGTCTCAGGATCCCAACTATCAACTGCGGGGGTTGGGGGCCTCCCAGCATATGGAGGTGGCCTTGTTAGTTGGACACTTACATCCTCTGGTGATAGAAAGGTGTTAGTAGCAGTCTCCTGTAGAGGTGGTGCTGTTGGTTGGACACTTTCACCCTCTGGTGATAGAAAGGTGTTAGTAGCAGTCTCCTGTTGTAACTTTCCCCCTGATGGCTTTTTCTGTTTTACACTTTCTTTCTCTGTCTGACTAGCTTGAGAGGCCTTCTCTTTTACTTGAATTTTTTCCTCTGTCTGACTAGTTCGAGAGACCTTCTCTTTTACTTGAATCTTTTCCTCTGTCTGACTAACTTGAGAGACCTTCTCTTTTACTTGAATCATTTCCTCTGTCTGACTAGCTTGAGAGACCTTCTCTTTTACTTGAATCAATATGTCTTCTCCTTCCTCTACCATTGTCTGAACTGAAGGCTTTGGACTAAGCAAACAAGATACGAACGTCCACAATGGCAATGTGCCAACTGGCAGAGTCCCTGGGCTTTTCTTTTCTATTCTTTTTAAATATTCAGCATGATGGTTCCATTGTGATATATTCAACAACTCCTCCTTAAAAAGCCATGGGGTACATTTTTGTATTGTATCAACGTATGCCCTGACTGCTCTTGATTTTACTGGGATGCCTCCTTCCTCTAACAATTTACTTAACACTCTTTCGGTTTGTGTTTTACTAATTTCTGATCCCATATTTCTACTATAATACAATCCAACAAGATAACACCAAACAAAACCGAGATAGAATGAAATAAAAATGGAACAACAAAAAATCATTATGACCTTTCTCCCTATCTGTTCCTCAGACGCAAATAGTTTTTCCTCAGATGTGAGCGGTTTTTCTTCCGTCTCACTCATCTCCAGGGACAGGCAACTTAAAACAAAAGTGAAGCCAAACAAAAGAGGAATCTTAAAATGGCTACCCATCCTCTAGCCCTGCCCTCAGGGGCGAGCAGTTTACCTTATCACTTACCCTCAGTCGCTCCCCGTACGGGCCACCAAATGCCGCAGTCTGGCTGGGCACAATCAGGAGCCACTTGTCAAAAGAAACTAACTTTATTTTTAGAACCACACACGCCAAACAAAACAGCCTCTCAGGAAAAACCCTCAGAGCCCCAACTGCCACCACCGGCTTTCCACAAGCCTCTCTCTCCAACACCAGCCTCTCTCTCCACCTCCCACAATCCTCCTGCTCTTGAGGCTGATTGGCTGGGTCACGTGGGCGGAGCCAAAAAAGTCCCCCAATGAGCAGCTCCATGGTCTGAAAGGGCAGGGAAACAGCCCAATGAGCATCACCGCAGAGGAGCCAATCAGCTAGATATTGCTGGGGCCGCTGTGAGCCAATCATCAGCCGGCAGCTGGAAGTTTGCTGGGGCCCCTTCGGCTGTGGCTCTCAACACCTCTTATGGAAGAGAAACAGTCCTCTCTCTCTCCCTTTGCCATATGACCAACTGGGTACAATGGGGATGGGGGAATTGAATGATTCCTTGGAATCCTGGTTTCAGACACTGTTCATTTTAAACAATACCTGAAATATATTCACACTGAAGAGTTCTTCTATGGAGATTTTACACGTTGTTTTTACCATTTATAGAGTAGCTAACACAGGCAATGACCAGCTCAGAGTGGTGACTGGCAGATGCTTGGGACCAGGATCAGCCATGCATTGCCTTCTATGGAAACTGTACCTAAAGATTCAGAAAGAGTGAATGGTCACAGTCCATTTCTGTAAACCTCATCCACATGCTACTCATTTTCCCCCTTCTTGTTTTCTTCTCTCTCTCTCTCTTTCTTGTTTCTCGTGTTAGAGTTGGAACCCAGGGCCTTGTACATGCTACACAAGTGCTCTACCAGTGAGCCACACCCCCAGCCCCTCTTTATCTTTAGTGTATATGATACTGGGGATTAAATCCAAGGGTGCTTTATCACTAAGATACATCCCAGCCCTTTTCAATTTTTATCTGGAGACAGGGTCTCACTAAGTTGTCAAGACTGGTTTCAAACTTGCAATCTTCCTGCCTCAGCCTCCCAAATTGCTGGGGTTATAGACATGCACCACCTTGCCTAGCTCTCTCTTTTTAACGTCTATATTTCTCCCTCCTATCTCCTTATTACACTGGAAGAGTGTACTTTTTTTGTGTGTGTGGTTCTGGATATTGAACCCAGGGCCTTGTTCATAAAGGCAAGCACTCTACCAAATGAGCTATGTCCCCAGCCCAGATGTACACTTTTTAAAAAGATATATTAAGGAAAAGTTTAAAAACACAGATACCCATGTTTATATCAATTTTTGTCTAGTTCTTTTTTTTAGAGAGAGAGAGAGAGAGAGAAAGAGAGAGAGAATTTTTAGTATTTATTTTTTAGTTTTTGGCAGACACAACATCTTTGTATGTGGTGCTGAGGATCGAACCCAGGCCGCACGCACGCAAGGCGAGCGCGCCACCGCTTGAGCCACATCCCCAGTCCCAATTTTTGTCTAGTTCTTAAGGGAAAACTTTTAAGGATGAGGGTTATGATGGCACAAAAAACTTTTTTTAACCTTTTTCTGGATTTTAAAATCCAATGGGGGCTGTAGCTCAGTGATCTACAGATTCAATGCAATCCCTACCAAAATGTTAAGGACTTCTTACAGAATTAAAAAAAAAAAAAAAAAAAACAACTAAAATTTGTATGGAATTACAAAAGACCCCGAATGTCTTTTGTAAATTGTCCTGGCTGGCCTCAGACTTGTAATCCTCCTGATCCTCCTGCCTCAGTCATCTTGAGAAAGAACAAAGCTAAAAGCTTCACACTACATGATTTCAAACTATACTACAAAGCTATAATGATCAAAATAGCATGATATCAGCATAAAAACAAACATACTGACCAATGGAACAGTATAGAGGGCCGTAAAATAAATTCACATCTTTACAACCAATGGATTCTTTCTTTCTTTTTTCAGTGCTTGGGAATCAAACCCAGGGCCTCACAGATACTAGGCAAGTGCTCTACCACTGAATTACAACCCTTGCCAACACCACCTTTTTTTTGTGTGTGTGTGGTAGCACTGGGATTGAACCAAGGATGCTTAAGTACTAAGCCACATCTCCAGCCCTTTTTCTTATGTTTTATTTTGAAACCTGGTCTCACTAAGTTGCTTAGGGCCTTGCTAAATTGCTGAGGCTGGCCTCGAACTTACGATCCTCCTGCCTCAGCCCTGCAAGTTGCTGAGATTACAGGTGCTCACCACCATGCCTGACCTCTACTAATATATTTTTTTTCCTAATATATTCTTAAAAACTGCTAAGAGAGATGGTAAGTATTCTTACCACCAAATGATAACTATGTGAGGCACTACATATGCTAATTTCCTAGATTTTAGTCATTTCACAATGTATATATTTCAAAACATGTTGTATACCATAAATACATACAATATTATATGTTAATTTAATAAAGAAAGAAAAATAGAGCTGGGCCTAGTGCTGCAGGCCTGTAATCTCAGCTACTCAGGTGACTGAGGCAGGAGGATCAGGAGGATTACAAGTCTGAGGCCAGCCAGGACAATTTAGTGAGATTCTGTCTCATAAAATAAATAAATAAAACAGGACTGTGGATATAGCTCAGTGCTCACCTAACATGTTCAAGGCTCTAGATTAAACTGCTAGTACCATAAAAAAAACATCCAGCAATATCTGAGATCCAATCAAAGATTTCCAGGAATAACTTTGTAGGAAAACATTGTCTACAATAAGGAAATAATAAATCAATCAAAACCAACTCAGTGCCAGGCATGATGGTACATGCCTGTAATCCCAGTGGCTCAAGAGGTTGAGGCAGGAGGATCACAAGTTCAAAGCCAGCCTCAGCAATTTAGCGAGGCCCTAAGCAACTCAGAATAAAAAATAAAAAGGTACTCTGGCCAAAAAACAAAAGGGACTGGGATGTGGCTCAGTAGTTAAGCACCCCTGGGTTCAATCCCCAGTACCAAAAAAACAAAAACACCCATTCAGTGCTCAATTTGGCAACACATATACTAAAACTGGAATGATACAGAGAAGATTAGCTTGGTCCCTGAGCAAGGATGACACAAATTCTTATTTGTGTGTTCCATATTTGTAATAAAAAGGGAGGGGGAATCTCATGAAAATAGAAGGAAGACCAATAGAGCAGAGGAAGAGGATCAAGGGGAAGTACTGGGGAATAAAATCTACCAAATTATGCTATGTGCATGTATGAATATACCACAATTAATTATATATATATATATATATATTATATATATATATATCACTAATTAAAATAACAATAAAAGAAGGGATAAATAGAGTAGAGCAAGATGATTGAGGAGAGGAAGGAGGGCAGGGAAAGGGAAGGTACTGGAGAATGAGATTGATCAAATTATGTTATGTGCAAGTACAAATATAATGCATAGTGAATCCCACTATTATGCATAATTATAATGCACCAATAAAAATATAAAATAAAACATTAACTTAAGAAGAAAAAAACAGGCTCAACTTGATAATGGAGAAGTGGTTTAAGATGGTTTTTTAAAAATCAGATGAAGAGTGTTGGCAATAGAAAAGATTTTCTTTGATTTTTGAATGATAAAGGATGTCTGAATTATTTGCTTTTGTTTTGTGGAAAGGAATAGCAGTACTGAGAAAAATTTATTTTGGTGGGTTAGGTAAAGAAAGGCAATAAATTTGAAGATTTTTTTGTCTTTAAACAAAAGCAAACTGACTCAGAACCAGGCAAGGTGGCACACACCTATAATCCTGGTGACTCAGGAGGCTGAGGCAGGAGAATTCCAAGTTTGAGGCCACTCTGGGCAACAATAACAACCTCAAAAACAACCCCACAGTGACTCAGAACTGACAGATATTAGATATTAGAATTATCAGAGAGGGATACTAACACAGTTACTATTATAATCATATGTGAGATATTATAATAAGAAACATATGTAGTCTCTGTTCCTGATTCCTAGCACACAGCTAAAAATCCTGTAATTTCCAGAGTCATGAGGCAAGAGGAGCAGCTTGTTATTCATAACAAACCCTTCAACCATACCTGAGTTTATACTAACGAGGTGGCCCTTGGTGGGCACCTCAGTAACTTCAGAGTAGAGGCTGGTTGCCAGAGAAAACCGCCAAGTGATTAGAAGACTGGGGCCTCTTGGGAAGGGAAAGGAACTGGAGATTGAGTTAATCACCAATGGCTGGTGACTTCATCAATCATGCCTATGTGATGAAACCTCATAAAGGCTCTGTGTTGGTGAGCACATAAAGATTCTGGGAGGGTGTTCCCTCCCCCACATCTCACCCTATAATCTCTCCCATTTATTTCTTGCTGAGTCATATCCACTTTAAAATAAATCAGTAATAGTAAGTGAAGTGTTTCCTGAGTTCTGTGAGCCATTCTAACAAATTATCAAACCAAAGGAGGGGGTCAGAAGTCCTGGAGGCCTGGGATTTTTCTTTTCCTCTTTTTAGGAGTGGGTATTTAGGAGCGAACCAAGGGGTGCTTTACCACTGAGCTACATCCCCAGTCCTTTTAATTTTTTATTTTGTGATGGGGTCTCACTAAATTACTGACGCTGGCCTTGAATTTGCAATCCTCCTTCCTGAGCCTCTTGAGTAGCTGGGATTACAGGCATATGTCACTGCCACAACTGGCTGGGATTTTTCAATTGGTATCTCAAGTAGAGCCAGTCTTGTGGGATCAAGCCCTTAACTTGTGGGGTATGACACGAACTCTGAGTAGTGTCAATTGAATTGAATTGTTGGACACCCAGTTGCTGTCTGGAGAGTTGGAGAACCATTGTTGATGTAGAAAAATCCCCACACATTGGCATCTCTAGTGTTTGTGAGTAAAAGCAGCTCAGAGTCTGACATATGTTCAAACACTTAAATAGAGACATTGAGGATATAAAAAGTACCCAAATCAAACAGTTACATGGCCTGGTTGAAAATACACTTAAGGAATTAACAGCACATTAGACATTGCAGAAGGAAAATATATTTGTCAAATTGAAGCATAGCAATTAGAAAATACTAAAAAATAAAACATAGAGAAAAGGACCCAAACAACAAAAAAATGGGCCAGGGATATAGCTCAGTGGTAGACCATTTGCCTAGCATGCATGAGGCCCTGGGTTCAATCCCCAGCACTGGAGAGAAGGAAGAAATGGCATCAGTGAGCTGAGGAACAGTGTCAAGCAACATATTATATGAGTAATTTGAGTCCAAAGAGAGAAGACACTCAAAAACCTGTCCAAGTTTTTCAAATTTGAAGAACACTAGAAGCCTAAAAATCCAAGAATACAAGAACCCTAAGCATAGGAAACTACACCTGTAGTGGCACCCCCTTTCTCTACAGAAAAGTCTTAACTGGGTTTCTCCAGAAATCTTCACCATGGCTGCATTTAGGACTGTCAGCAGAAGAGTCTCTTCAAAAGAGTTTAATGTAGATAAACTTCCAATTTTCGTGTTGCCCTGTTTTACTTGGCCACTGGCTAGGAAGAAATCAGCACCCCCTTACTAGTTTTCCACAAACATGTATCCAGTAGTTTGTAGAAATGTGTAAACAAGGCCTCTGGCCTTGAGCTGGGGCTTCACAGAGATGTCTACATTTCTAAGATAAGAGAAGTTACCAATTGGGCTCCATGATAACAGCTGGCAGGGGGAGGAAAGAAAGGGGAGAAGAAGCTCTCCCCTTCTCAGGTGTTGTCCTTGAAGGGTTAACTTTCCCAAAACAGTGAAAGAAAAAGCTGCTTTTATGTGAACTTCTACAGACTGTGAACTTCTGAGCCCCTCCCCTTACCTGCTAGGTATCAAGTTCTGAAACTGTCCAAACTCAGGGTTCAAGGGATTGATTACAGCAAAAGCTGTGCCCTCTGAACCTGGCTGCAGCCAAATAAAACTGCTTCCTGCCATCTTCAGTGCCTTGCCTCATCTGTCCCTACAACACACCAAGGTACATCATAATCAAATTGATCAAAACCAATGCTAAAGAGAAAAATCTAAAAAGCAGACAGAAGTGGGAAGGGACCTGTACACAGGAACTATTATGGTTCAGATTAGGTGTCCCCCAAGAGCTCATGTGTGAGATAAGGCAATAAAATTTAGAGGTGAAATGATTGGGTTATGAGAGTCTTAACTTAATCAGTGCATCAATCCCCTGATGGGGAATAACAGGAGGGAACTGTAGAAAGGTAGGGTATAGCTGGAGGAGGTGGGTCATTGGGGATGTGCCTTTGGGGTTGATATTTTGTCTGTGAAAAGGAGAGCTTTCTCTCTCTGCTTCCTGGAGCCATGTTCCCAGCAGCTTTCCTCCTTGACATGATGCTCTGCCTCACCACAAGCCCTAAGGAATGGAGCTAGCCTTCTATGGACTGAGATCTCTGAAACCGTGGGTCCCCCCCAAAAAAACTTTTCCTCCTCCAATTGTTATTGTCAGGTCTTTTAGTCACAGCAGTGGAAAAGCTGACTAAAACAGGAACAAAATTAGGACATCAAATTTCTTGCTGAAGGTAATACAAGCAAAAAGACAAGAAAGCCAGGTGCAAGCACACCTATAATTCCAGCGACTCTGGAGGCTAAGGCAGGAGGATCACAAGTTCAAGGCCAGTCTCAGCAACTTAGCAAGGCCCTAAGCAACTTAGTGAGACCCTGTCTCAAATAAAAAATAAAACGGGCTGGGGATGTGACTCAATGGTAAATCACCTGTGAGTTCAACACCTAGTACCAAAAAGAAAAAAAGAAGACAAGGTTTTTTGTTTGTTTGTTTGTTTGGCATCAGGGATTGAACCCAGGGCCACTTAACCACTGAGATACATCCCCAGCCCTTTATTATTAATATTTATTTTTTAGTTGTAGTTGGATACAATATCTTTAATTAATTTATTTATTTTTATTGGTGCTGAGGATCAAACCCAGGGCCTCGCCCATGCTAGGTGATCACTCTACTGCTGAGCCACAGCCCTAACCACTCCTGAGCCCCTTTTTATATTTTATTTGAGACAGGGTCTTGCTAAGCTGCTGAGGCTGGCCTTGAACTTGTGATCCTCCTGCCTTAGACTTCCAAGCTGCTGGGATCACCGGCATGTGCCACCATGTCCAGCAAGACAAGGTCTTTAAAGTAGTGAAAAACAAACTAACTAACAAACTAACGTTCAGCCTATTAAATTATTAGGGACAATGGCACATGCCTATAATTTCAGCTACACTAGAGACTGAAGCAAGAGGATCCCAAGTTTATGGCCAGTCTTGGCAGCTTATTGAGACTCTGTCTCAAAATACAAACTAAGTAATAAATTAAAAGGCCTGGGGATGTAGCTCATTGGTAAAGTGATTCTGGGTTCAATTTCCAGTAAAATAAACTGTCAGCCTACAATTCTATACCCATTAAAATACTTTTCAAAAAGGTGAGATAGAGACTTTTTTCCTAGTACTGGGGATTGAATCCAGGGCCTTGCCCGTGCCAGACAAGTGCTCTACACTCCCAACCCTTCCTTCATTTTATTCTGAGACAGGGTCTCCCTGCGTTGCCCAGGCTGACCTAAAATTTGCAATTCTTCTGCCTCAACCTCTCAGTTAACAGGGATTACAGGCATGCACCACAATACCCAGCCTAAAATACTTTTTCATACACAGTAAAATTATAAGAATTAATTACCCACAGATCTACACCACAAGAAATGTTAAAGGACATCCTTAAGGCAGAAAGAAAATGATATCAGTTGGAAATCAGGATCTACACAAAGGAATGAAGAGCACTGGAAATAGTAACAACATGGGTAAAAATATATGATTTTAAAAAGTATTTAAATATCTTTAAAAGGCAATTAAGCACCTAAATAAAAATAACATACTTTGGGGTTTATAGCATGTAAAAGTAAAATGCATGATAACGATAGCATAAAGTCTGAGCATAGAGAAATGGAAGCACACTATTGTGAAGTTCTTAAACTATATGCACATAAACAGGATTACTGGTGCACCCTGTAATCCCAGCAATTTGGGAGGCTGAGGCAGGAGGATTACAAATTCAAGGCCAGGCTTGGCAATTTAGTGAGACTCTGTCTCAAAATAAACAAGGCTGGGTGGGGATATAACTCAGTGGAAGAGTACCACTGGATTTAATCCCCAGTGCCACCATAAAAAAAACCTATATGAAAAATAGTAATATACCACTTAAAGGTAGATTTTGCTAAGTTTAAGATGAACAATAGTCTCCCTTTATCTGCAGTTTCTGTTTCTAGGATTTCAATTACCTACAGCCAACTATGGTCTTAAAATATTCAATGGAAAATTCCAGAAATAAGCAATTTTACAAGTTATTAAAGAACATGTTTTTATAACAATTCATGTTTTAAATTGCATGCTACCCCACTCTATCTTGCCCAGGACATGAATCATCCCTTTGTCCTGTATATGCTACCTGCTCATCAGTCACTTAGCAGCCACCTCAGTTATCAGATTGGCCATCAAAGTACCACAATGCTTGTGTTCAAATAAGCCTTATTTTTCCTTGATATAGTAATTGTTCAATTTTGTTATTAGTTATTGTTGTTAATCTCTTACTCTAATTTAAAAATTAAACATTCTAACAACCACAAATCAGCATTTATTAGACACACTTAACAATAGGTTGAAGATGTTGAAGCAGAGCATCAATTAAAATTATCACTTTACCAATGAGCTATATCCCCAGACCTTTTAATTTAAACTATCAATTAACTATCATGCCGCTGGGGCTGTGGCTCAGTGGTAGTGCGCTTACCTAGCATGTGTGAGGCACTGGATTCAATTCCCAGCACCACATAAAAAATTAATTAATTAACTATCAATTAAACTAACTGGACATAGCTCAGTTGGTAGAGTACTTGCCTGGCATGCACAAGGCCCCGGGTTCAATCCCTGGCACCACACACACACACACACACACACAAAAAAAAAAAACTATCTGGTGGTAGTAGAACTAGATTCATGTGAGGAATAATACAACTTTGTCTTGCTGAATCTTGATGGAATATCTCCCATTGAAAATTATGCCTTACTGACAACCATTATCAAATCAAATATTTTATTTAAAATGAACCACTGAATTATGTTGTACAAAAAAGAATTGAAATGGGACTCTGAGATGGAGCAAAGTTGAAGGGAAGTAAGTACTCAAATGAGAACCAGTTTCTCTTTGAAGGTAATTCCAACCCAATTCCCTTAAACTCGATGACACTAAATTAAACCAATTTTTGTGTATGTGGTACTGGGGATTAAACCCAGGGGCATTTTATCACTGAGATTCATCCTCAGACCATTTTCATTGACAGATAGTCTTGCTAAATTGCTGAAGCTGACCTTGAACTTGGAATTCTCCAACCTCAGCCTCCTGAATTGCTGATATTACAAGTGTGTACCACTGAGCCTAGTAAAATTAAGCTTTATCTTAAGTATGTATGCATATAAAATTACATATAGACAGACAGACAGACAGACTAACTGACTGGGACTATCTGTAGTTTCAGGCAGGCATCCACTGGGGGTCTTGGCATGTATCCCCTGTGGCTAAATGGGGATTATTGTATACAACAAATCTTAGCACAATCAGAAAATAAAACCAAGAGTTACAGCTAATAAGCCAACAAAAGGGATAAAGTGGAATCATAAAAATACTTGATTAACCCCAAAGAAAGCAGAAAAAAGGAGAGAACAGATAGAAAACAAATAGCTAGACAAATGACTCAAATATATCAATAATGACCCTAAATGTAAATGATCAAATAAAACAGATATTGTCAGATTATATAAAAAGACACCAAAAACATGGTAGCGTAAAACATAATACACAAGGGAAATAACAGCAAAATGCCTAACATGGGGGAAAAAAGTAGAATTGTTAGAACCAACTGCATTAGAGCTCTGAAAAACAGTAAAAAGGTTTCCAGCAACTGAGTGCGCAACTCAGACGATGCCCCCTCAGGTGCTGGGGTGTAGTCAGTGGTAGAGTGCTTGCCTAACATGTGCAAGGCCCTGGTTTAGATCTCCAGTACCTCAATCAATCGATCAATCAATGGACAAAAGAAAAAGTCACCTTAAAAAGGGCAGGAGTGGCTGGGTGTGGTAGTGCAGGCCTGTCATCCAATGACTTGGGAGGCTGAGGCAGGAGGATTGGCAAGTTCAAGATCAGCCTGGGCAACTTAGCAAAACCCTGTTTCAAAAAAAATAAAAACTGCTGGGGATGTAGCTCAGTGGCAGAGTACCCCTGGGTTCAATCCACAGTGTGAAGTTTTTAAAAAATAAATAAACAGCAGGAGTGTTTGTGGCATGTTTACTTGCTTTCACTCCTCATTCTCCCCTGCATGAACATGGCAGTCTTGGTGAGTCTTGAAGAGGCAGGGCAGGTCCCCATTCCCTCTTGAAGTGGAGGGATTCCAAATTAATGCATATATGTTATTTGTCTATCTGTTCTGTTTCCTTTTTTGTTTTTGGTTTCAGAAATTAAACCCAGGGGTGCTTAACAACTCCACATCCCCAGCCCTTTTAAGTTTTACTTTTTGAGATAGGGTCTTGTTGAATTGATTGGGGCCTCCTTAAATTGCTGAGGAACTTGCAATCCTCTTGCCTCAGCCTCCTGAGTAGCTGAGATTATAGGCGTATGCCACCACACCCAGCCTGTTTTTTTCTTGCCTTATTTTGGATTGTCATTATTTTATTCCCCTTACCATTTGTTTAAAATTTATACTTTCTTTACCCTTTACCTTAATATTCTAGTTTATCAAAATTAGTCTACTGGAAAATCTTTTAGAACATGCATACTTTAATACACTTTTTTCTGTGGTACTGGTGATTGAACTCAGGGCCTTGAACATGGTAGGTGAATGCTCTACCACTGAGCTACATCCCCAGCTCTTTTTAAATTTTAAGACATGGTCTTGCTAAATCACCCAGGCTGGCCTCAAACTTGCAATCTACCTTCCTCATCCTCCTGAGTAGCTGGGATCATAGGCATACACTACTGTGCCTGGCATAATACACTTTAACCTGTATTCCAATTCATATAAATTCTCTTCAGTATATCTGATGTTATTAACTCATCCACTGACTTCTTAGATTTAATCTATTTCAGCTCTATCACTTCTACTTCATTCTTTCTCAACTTTTTACTTTTTGGAGGGTACTAGGAATTGAACCCAGGGGTGTTTTACCACTGAGCTACACCCCTGGTCCTTATTTTTTGAGACAGGGCCTTGCTAAATTGCTGAGGCTAGAATTGAACTTGCAATCCTCCTCCCTTAGCCTCTCAAGTCGGTGGGTCATTTTTATTTTTAAAAGTTGTAAATTCCTGCCAGGAATTGTGGTGCACACTTGTAATCCCACTGAATTAGAGATTGAGAAAAGGGGATCTCAAACTCGAGGCTACCCTCAGCAGTTTAGTGAAATCCTATCTCAAAAAATAAAAAGGAGGGCTGGGGTTGTGGCTCAGAGTATGTGTGGCTCACACATACTCACCTAGCATGTGTGAGGCACTGGGTTTGATCCTTAGCACCACATAAAAATAAAATAAAGGTATTGTGTCCACTTACAACTAAAAAATAAAAATAAAAAGGAGCTGGGCCCAGTGGTGCATGTCTGTAATCCCAGTGGCTTGGGAAGCTGAGGCAGGAGGATCATGAGTTCAAAGCCAGCCTCAGCAATGGCGAGGCACTAAGCAACTCAATGAGACCCTGTCTCTAAATAAAATACAAAATAGGGCTGGGGATGTGGCTCAGTGGTCGAGTGCCCCTGAGTTCAATCCCCAGTACCAAAAATAAATAAATAAACAAATAAATAAATAGGACTAGGGATGTAGCACAGGGCTAGGGATGTAACACAGTGATTTAAAAAAAAAAAAAACAGGGCTGGGGATGTGGCTCAGGTGGTAGCGCGCTCGCCTAGCATGCGTGCAGCCCGAGTTCGATCCTCAACACCACATACAAACAAAGATGTTGTGTCCGCCAATAACTAAAAAATAAATAATAAAAAAATTATAAAAAAATAAAAATAAAAATAAACAACAATAAGTACCCCTGGGTTCAATCCCCAGTAACCCTATGTACACCCCAAATATAAATTCCTTATTTACTTTTAATCATTTTTATTTCTATAATCATGGCAAATGTCCTACATTGATAGTTGATTAGTCTAAAATGAGGAATCTCAACTGGGGACAGTGGTGCACACCTGTAATCCCACCGAGGCTGGAGGCTGATGCAGGAGGATTCCAAGTTCAAGGCTAGCCTCAGCAATTTAAAAAGGCCCTAAGGACTTAGGGACACCCTGTATCAAATTAAAACATTTTTTTAAAAGGGCTGGGGCTGGGCGTGGTGGCACACACCTGTAATCCCAGCAGCTTGGGAGGTTTAAGGCAGGATGATCACAAGTTCAAAGCCAGCCTCAGCAAAAGCTAAGTGCTAAGCAACTCAGTGAGACCCTGTCTCTAAATAAAATACAAAATAGGGTGTGGATGTGGCTCAGTGGGTGAGTGCCACCGAGTTCAATCCTTGGTACCAAAAAATAAAAAAGAGAGGGGGCTGGGGATGTGGCTCAGTCATTAAGTACCCCTGGGTTCAATTCCCAGTACAAAAAAAAAAATTTAAAAAGTGAGGACTCTTTGAGTAACTGTGCCTTATTTCTCCTTAGTCTTACACATATTGTCTTGTTTCAAGATGTCTTTGGTTGGATCAGGTCTCTTAAATAGCTTGTTTTAGCTGAGCTTTGTCAGGGATTGATAATGAGGCATTCCTATATAGCCCATTCTGGGCCAATGCCATTTTTTCTCAGAGCTGGGGATCAAACCCAGGGCTTACACATGATCTAGACAAATGCTCTGTCACTGAGCCACATCCCCAGCCTCTGTGCCAGCTCTTTATGCTTGCTTTCTCATCTACAAAAAGGGATTGGTATAGTGATTAAATTATGTGGTCTCTGTGAGAAGTCAGTAACAGCCTTTGAATGCCTGGATCCAGTTGTACCTGTAACCAGTATCTCTCTTCTTGCTTTTGCTTAAGTCAGTTTGAGCTGAGTTTCTCACATCAACCACTTTGATTCCTGCCTTTGTCAATGGAATGGCTGGGAGGCTTGTGGGTGGCAATGCTGGACTGAGTAGCCTTCCCAGTGGGTCCTACCAGACCCAGTGAAAAGGTATCAGGCTGGAGGGAATGTTGTGGGAATGTTTCCTCAGCTGCCACTGAGCAGGAATCCACCAAGTGAAGGGCTGGGTGACTTATTTATGTCCAGAGGCCATACACTTGCCCTCTCTACTCCACCCCACAGCTGTCCCCACAGGAGCCTAGTTTCTCACATGTGACAGTTGGCTCCTCTGGGAGAGGTTTGTCAGGAAATGCTTACACTCTGTGTTCTTCTGTGGCAGGCACGCCCATCTCACTCTTCTCTGGGGAGGGTGGGGGACCTTTCTGGTGGGAGAAGGGGTCAATGTAGAGGCAACACAAACACATTTGTCCTATCAGGTAGGGGTCTGGCCAGGTCAATATCCCACCTCTGCAGGTATCTCCTCACGGGGACTAATACCTCTTAGACCTCTGAGAGGTGGCCTGGTGAGCAATCTTTATGTCCTAAAACAACATGTGTGCCCACAGGGTTGCCTGTCTCTTCCAGGCGTACCCTTTGCACAAGAGCTGTTAGTGCAGCTCTGGGTCCAAGCAGGTCAAATATTCCCTCCAGGGATCATCTCCAGTGTGACCAATGAGATACACTGACCTCTAGACCAAACCAGAGGCATTCCTTGACTTCTGTACCTGTTTTCCCATCTGAAACTAGAGATGACAACTCCCCAGAGATGTGAGGATTGAATTGGTATTTGTAAAAGGGTTTGGAAAAAACTAGGCATAGGGTTGGTGCTTGAAATAGTGCCTGGCACTCAGACGGTGCTATAAACGCACTTTGAAGGTAACACATGGCACACAGCTGTTGCTTGATGAGCACTCAGTAGCATCCACCACACACCACACATGGCATTCAATAAGCACAAAGAACTTAGGCCTAAAATGGGTGCCAAGTACATACATGGGGAGAATAAACCACGCTGCCTAGTAAGGAACAGACTGGAGCTTTATGTATTTGACACACACAGAGAAAGGTACAGGGTCTCAATAAGAAAATACACTCTGTGTTCAGGTGAACCCCCATCATTGGCCACTAAGAACACTCACGGGTGGGGAAAGAGGGGAGGGGACACCATAAATAAGACTAGAAGGGAAGGTCACTGCTCTACGGGCACACACAGGCAGGGCACACTGCCAGGGGCACAGGGCCTCTTCTTTCCAGGCAAGAGAAATACAGCAGCACAGGAAAACAGTAGCCACGTCTAAGCCTGCAATGCCTGGGGGGGGCACCGAACACGGGTAAGAGTGGGGTGGACACAAGAAGTAGGGTGGCAGACAGGGCTTCCTTCCCTGTGGTGAGCTCCAGGGCTGCTCAGTTAACATCCATGAACTCAGGGTTGGGTGGGGAACTGCAAGTGGTGGAGACTGAAGAGCCAGATGAGCCAGGCTGGGACTGGCAGCGTGCCACATCCTGGCGTTGGTAGAACAGGACGTAGGCTGCCTTAGACTGTAGGGAGAAGACACAAGTCAGTGTGGATGTCGGGCAAGAGGAGGAGGGTGGAGTCAGGAGAAGGGGTATAAAGAGGATGAATGTCCCACCTCAATCTGATTCTCATTCACAGGTGACACACTGTTGTCATCAAAGTAGTGCCACTGGCCACTGTCTTTGTTGCAGGCAAATGTTGTATCTGAAAGGGACAGGAAGGCATTCTCACCCACCCTCCTCCTCCCACCTTGATAACATTGCCCCTGGCCCACATACCTAGTCACCACTGGGGACATCCTAACCCCCTTAGTCCAGTACCCCCCTCAGGCCATGTCCCTGCCCATAGCCCTGCACGTAAAACGTACAGTGTCCATCGCGCATGCCCCCATAATGGTTGGAAACTGCAATGAGATCATATTTGTACAGCTCTGGAGCCGACTCGTTCTGTGGTTTGATGACAAACTCGGAGAAGTCCAGATCCCTGTGGGTAAGGAGACAATGGTTAACACTAGGCTTCCCTCCAACACACTGCCCTGCCTTCCCCTAGCCATCCTCCCTCTGGCCTCTGACCGGATAGGAAATTGCACGAGAGTATCCAGCTTCTCACGGGAAAACTTTGAAAAGGAAAAGCGCTTCAGGTGGATGATGAGAATCTCAGGCAGCATCCACAGGTCCAGTTTCTTGGTGGCCAGCTGGTGCTGTTTGCAGGAGGAGCAGTACCTATAGAAAGAACCAAGTCAGGTCAAGGAACACCTTCTGAGCACCTACTATATGGCCTGTGTACTGTCTGTCTTTCAAGTGCCTTGTCTGGCCCACAGTGATATTCTTTTATTTTTTTAAATGATGCTTTGACTTTTAGTCTACCTGGTACTCTGGTTTGCTCTCATTAAAATTCTTTTGTTTACTTGTTGGAACCTTGTCAGCTGCCTTTCCAATATGCTTTTGTATTTTTGTGTGACTCCTGGCCCATGAGATGCTAGTCTTATTTTGGAGCCAGCCTTTCATTTGTCTGCTTTTCTCTTTTCATATTTTAGCCACTCCTTCCTTCAGCAAATATTTAGCAATTGCCTAATGTTTAATCCTCTGGTCCTATTTTTTTTTTTTTTTGTACTTTTTGTGTGCATGTGCTGGGGATTAAACCCAGGGCCTCACATATGCAAAGCATGTGCTCTACCACTGAGCTATAACCCTAGCCCCTGCTCGTTTTTGAGACTGGCTTTAGAATTTTGGTTCTCTTTCACTCTGTTCATTCTGCAACTATCTACTGAGCATCTATCAAATGTCCAACTTGCTTGTAAGCAGCAAAAGAGATGCCGTGAACTAATTTAGAAGTCTTCACCCTCAAGAGTTTTCTCTTTTTTTTTCTTTTGGTACTGAGGATTGAACCCAGGGGCACTTTACCACTAACCAACATCCAGTCCTTTTTTTGTTTTTTAGACAGGGTCTCACTAAGTTGCTGAAGCTGACCTCAAACTTGCAATCCTCCTGCCTCAGCCTCCCAAGTCACTGGGATAACAGGTGTGCACCACCACACACAGCTCAAGGAGTTTACTCTCTAACAGAGATGATGAAGCATACAAACAGGGCTATAGGACATGACTTCAAGTGGCATAACTGATCTAGAAAGAAATCCTTAGCTAGAAGGAAAAGAGCAGAGACAGAAAATGGAGGCAAGGGGCTGGGGATGTGGCTCAAGCGGTAGCGCGCTCGCCTGGCATGCGTGCGACCCGGGTTCGATCCTCAGCACCACATACAAACAAAGATGTTGTGCCCGCCAAAAAAACTAAACAATAAATGTTTAAAAAAAAAAATGGAGGCAAGGGTGGGAGAAGATGACTTTGTTGTTGTTGTAGAATGACAGTAAGCATGCTTTTATTTTATTTATTTATGTGGTGCTAAGGATTGAACCCAGTGCCTCACACTGAGGTACAGCCCCAGCCCCAGAAGGTGACTTTTAACAGGGTAGTAAGAGGAGGTGTCTCTGAGGAGGTCACATATGATTAGAGACCTAAGTATGTAGGTAACAGGGGAAGACCATTCTGGAGAGCAGGAACAGACCAGGCAAAGGCTCTAAGATATGGGGTGATGGTGGCCAGTGTAGCAGGAAGGGTTTGAGTGCAGGGCCGACTGGAAGGAGATATACTTAGAAAGGTAACAGGCACCTGGGTAGGTAGTATCACCCCACAGAGCCCTTCCAGGCCCCTTCCTGGGCCCTTACCAGGGGTTTTCTTTCTCCAGGGTCTCCACAGTAGTGAATAGCTCAATGCACTCCTGCAGCTGCACTGGAGCCTTCTTCAGCATGTACCCAACGCAGTCATGCTTCACGTAGCCCTAGGGTGGGTGAATACACGGTCACAGGACCAAGTATAAGGAAGAGTGGAGAGACAAGGAGCCATGTGGAAGCCATGTGCCAAGTGGGTCAAACTTGAAAGCTAGGAACCTGAGGCCTTGGAGCTCTCAAAGAATGTCAAGATGCCATGGCCAGGCCAGCTCTGGGCCTATATTTTTTGGTTCTATTGCTGGCTGGAGAAGTTGGAAAGGGAAGGATTGAGGAGTGCAAGCTGCAAGTGCCCCCCATCCCTGGTATCCCATTTACCTCAGCCTCCACCTCATCATAGTAGCGCCTCTTCATCTCTGGCTCCCAGTCCATGGCAATGTATGGCTGGGCTGGGGGCGAAGAGGAGGTGGTCACAGCTATTGCTGCTACAAAATCCCACCTCCCGCTGCTCCATCCCTAGCTTGCAGCCAAAGGACATACTTTGCACTTCTTCAGGGGAGGTTGTGCGGTCACTGGTTCCGTTGGAGTTCACTGTCTGCAGGGTGAACAGTTGCTTACGCCGTCGCCTTGGGGGCCACTGAGATGTCCGAAGGCAATTGTCCAAGAGGAATGGGCACCTCCTGGTGACCCCAGAGCTAGGCCCAGCCTGTTCTCGCTCAGAGTCTCGAAGGCTGCCCCTGGTGGAGGGCCCAGGCATTTCCTCTTTTTCTTCTTCATCACTGTCTTCATCCTCGCCTAGAATGAGGGGGGACATCAGAGATAGGATTGTGTGAGTTCCAGAGACTGAATTGAAATGCATATACTGATGAACACTGAGTGGGTCACATCTGTTCCCAATTCTCCACCCACTGACCCTCAACCCTTCTCCCCCACTTAGGCCATGGAACGCAATGTGTAGATCCCTCATCCTTGTTGAACCTCTCTCCCTTACCTTTGTCATCTCCATCATCCTCTTCATCTGAGCTGGGTTTGGTTACATAGCGTCTGTAACAGAACAGAAGATATTCCCAAGGCAGGGGCACAAGGACAGTGGGGGCAGAGCCCAGGGTTTTACTTCGGTAATCATGGAGGGGAAGCCATTGCTAAGCCCTCACATAAACAGCTCTTGATTATAAGCCTGGAAGGTGTGAGGTGGTGACATAAATGCACAGAGATGACATAAATGCTAGGGACCCGAATAGTGGCCTGAGAATGTAGGCTCATATGCTACAGTCAGGAATGGAATGTTAACTCTAAAAAGCCACCAGTAAACAGACACAACCAGTTGTGAACTCCCCTCAGGGAAGCCTCTGAGGGGCAGACTTCTATAAAATGAAGGGAAGATCAATGCAGACAATGCTTTGCTTTATTTGCCATGGCAAGGATGGTAGATTTTAGATATAATGAAAATCTACCAATAAAAACACAGCCAAGTCCCTTCAAGGATGAGACAAATTTTAAGATGAAGTTGTCTCTACATTATGAGTCTTATTTGCCTCTGTATTTCCAATACCTAAAAGAGGCAGTAGCAAAACCAGAGGTCTAATGAAACTAAAAAACTTACAAGTTCTTATATAGCCATGCTAAGTTTGAACTATCTTTTGGTTGTTGAAAGGAAAGTATCAAATAAGCAGCTGAACACCTGGATCTGAATTCAGACCCCAACTTCCCCTTGCCCCTGGAAGGTGTCACTTACGAAAGCCGGTACATCAGGATGTTATATAGGCCCTCCCAGGAGAACCGGTCTCGGGGCACTGATACCAGGAGGGGGTGCCCGAAAAGTATCAGACCATAGTAGGAGTTGTTGTAGTCTCGGGCTGGAGTGCGCTCCCGCAGGTAGACAGGAACCACAATGTCATCTCTTGAGCCCTCAATGGCCTCAATCCGACCTGACACCTCATATCTGTCGGGAGTGAACATTAGGTTATATGCTATCAGGGAATCCCCAAAAAAGACTCCCTGACTCTGTCCCAGTTGCTCCACACACTCATCCCTCACAATCTAAAACTATTTTTAAAGGGTCTGAAAAAGATGTCAAATATTTTGTGCTTTACAAACTGTCAGATGACTTACACTGTACTTTAAATTCTGTTTTAGAAAGTACTTTGGTAATATCAGAGTGCTGAGGGGGTTACTAAAAAATTTTAGTGACAAAGGATTTAAAAACAAATTTTTATAATCCCAGAAACTGGGGAGGCTGAGACAGAAGGATTACAAGTTCAAGGCCAGCCTCAGCAACTTAGCAAGACCCTAAGCAACTTAGTGAGACCCTGTCTCAAAAATAAAAAGGGTTGGGGATGTGGCTTAGTGGTAAAGTGTCTCTAGATTCAATCCCCAGTACTGAAATAATAATAAATAAGTAAATAAAAACCATTTTCTTTTTTTTAATTCTTTTTTTAATGTGGTGCTGAGGATTAAACCCAGTGCCTCACACGTGCGAGGCAAGAGCTCTACCACTGAGCTACAGCCCCAGCCCTCCACTTTCTTTTTTAAAGAAACTGATTGCTATGCAAAGAACTTTTCTACTCAGAAAGCACTCCCCATTTTAGTGTTTAGTTGCCTAAATGTTTAAAAATTATTCTGGGACTGAATATATAGCTCAGCACTAAAGTGCTGGGAATGAGAGTGGGGGGGCTGATCAGTCTATAGGCTCCTAAGGCTTTCTGCCTCCTTGCCCCTGAATCTTACTCGGCCTTCCCCCGTAGAATCCTAGTATGTGTAAGGCCCTGGGTTCTATCCCTAGCAATGCAAGAAATAAAATTAATTAAATAAAAAGTACTTGTACTGAGCTGGGGATGTGGCTCAGTTGTAAAGCACTTAGTTGCCTAGCATTTGCAAGGCCCAGCATTCAACCCCCAGCACCACAAAAAAAGGTTCAAAATTGTTCTGAATGCTCTTATTTTCAGAAAGTATCTTAGAGTTTCATATTTCAAAACTGCATTTTTGGGCTGGGGATGTGGCTCAAGCGGTAGCGTGCTGGTCTGGCATGCGTGCGGCCCGGGTTCGATCCTCCGTACCACATACAAACAAAGATGTTGTGTCCGCCGAGAACAAAAAAATAAATATTAAAATTCTCTCTCTTTAAAAAAAAAAAAAACTGCATTTTTGTTTTGACGACTATGATAGCCTAGAACATAGGAGGGGCCTAGGAAGTACTGAATGAAATAAGAAAAGTAGCTTCCCTCCCCTAATGAGGAGGTGACACTCCTTGCCACAGTTCTGCATATGGCAAAGAGGAAGGGTTAAGGCTGAATCATAAAAAAGGAAGTAGAGCTGGGGGTATACTTCAGTCATAGAACAATTGCCTAGCATGCTTATGAGACCCTTGGGATCAATCCCCAGGAGGAGAAAAAAAAAAAAGAAAGAAAGAGGACCAGCCTCCTGAGGAAGTACTGTCTCCTCATCACCTCCTTACTCACACAAAGATATCATCACGGTCCAAGATGCCACTCAAAGGATCCTCCAACTGATAAAGCTTATAGAAGCGGTGACTGAAGACATCTGCCACTATCATCTGGGAATGAGATTGGGGGGTCTGATCAGTCTGCAAGGCTCCTAAGGCTTTCTGCCTCCTTGCCCCTGAATCCTACCCAACCTTCCCCTGTAGAATCTTACCTTGTCTGGCGCTATACCTGTGTGTTTGGACAGAGCCACACACAGATCCGAGATATTCCCTTTCTTGGGGACCACAACTCTATGCTGAGAGAGAAATAGCATCCATAAAAAGATCAAAAGGGCTTATGGTGAGTAAAAGAAGCCTTGAGGTGTGGCAAAGTAATCACACTTTGATTACACGTCCCTTGTTATGTCCCCATCCCCCAACACACCTGCTCTGGCTTGCGGCGGGGATCCATGGGGACAAAGAAAACTTCCAGGACCCTCTTATGGCAGACAGGCAGTGGGACGCTGAGGTAGCAGAAGGGGTCAAAGGTCACAGACACGTTGCCACAATCAGGGCACACCAGTGTGGACTTGAAGAGGCCATGGAAAGTGTCCACAATCACAGAATCATTCCGCCGTTTGTGGTTCTGCCAGGCCTCCTGAGCAACCTCCTGTTGAAAGTGTCATGGTGGGTGTGAAGCTTGCCCAGGGCAGGGGGAAACCAGAATTTAGAGATGTATTTGTGCAGGGTTAAGGGTAAGCACTCAAGTCCAGTGGTAGAGTTCCAGGTAGGAATATCTGGAACCATGTTCACTGTTTGGGGCAGGAACCTGGCAGGGGTTAATTCTAAGTTGGGGGTGGGAACAGAGGTAAACCTAGGAGTGAGGCTAAAGGTAAAGTCAGGGTAAAGGAACTTAAAAGGCAGTGGCCTAAGTGGTTTTAATAGGACTTTCAGGATGAATACTTTCAGGAGCATCTTACCTGATCTGGCCGTCCAGCTGCATCACACAACTCGACATATTCCTTCTTCTTGACCCGATTTAGGTCTTCATGAAGCCCATCCAGAAGAAACGACAGCAGCTCCTGTGAGTCATGTTGCTGATAGCCCAGAAACTGGGTTGCAAAATGGCCAACCTTGTTCTGAAAAGATAGGTAGTGTAGTCAGAGTTAAGAGGGAATGAAGGAGTCATAAGAGGCAAGATAAAGTGAGGTACCAGAAATAATACCTTGAACACATTGGGCACGATGGAACGATGGTAGCCGGACCATGCCTGCTTTACCAGGTCTGCATAGGCCTCTGCGAGCTCACCCTTCATGCCCAATGGGTTTCGGAAGTTGAGCTCCTCTAGGTAGCGGTTGTTGAGGAAGTACTCCGTGAGCTGTGGCACATTGCTGAGACACTGTGGGGGAGGGTTTAGGTGAATAAGGCAGAGAAGAGGAGAAAGAAGGTTTCCCAAATGAGGACAGAGAAAAGAAAGCCAGGAAGGAATAAAAAGGAAAAACAAGGGAGGCAAGGGGAAAAGAAGGGGACAAGGGGGAGCAGGCAAGTCATGGGGAGATCATAGTATTTTCGGAGAAGGATGAAAGTGGTAGCAAAGTTGAGAAGAAAAGAAGAAGCAGGGCTGGGGTTGAAGCTCAGTGATAGAGCGCTTGCCTAGCACATGTGAGGCACTGGGTTCCATCCTTAGCACCACATAAAAATAAAGAAATAAAATAAAGGTATTGTGTCCATCTACAACTAAAAAAAAATACTGAAAAAAAAAAAGAGGAGCACAGAGCATGTAGAGGGAGAAGGTATTGATATTTTAGAGCAAATGTGAGCATGTCATTTCAGACTCCTGGGGCCTTAGCTTCCAACTTGACCCCTTGCCCTGCAGTTCCCCCTGCCCTAGCTCTGTCCCCAATCCCCAGCTCTTGAAGCCCACCCCTGGGGTTATGCCAGACACAGCTCTAATGGCCCAACCTGCAGGGCCGAGTTCATGAAGCACGTGTTGCCCAGATTGGTGAGGCCACAGATGCCAGGCTGGCCCTGGAAGTCCTCATCCTCTTCCGACACACTGTTCCTGGGATTGAATGAGAAATGCTATCAGCTCAGGGTCTACTACATGTGGGTGCACTGTACTCATAGGTTCAGTCAGTCTGCTTATTGTGTGATGCCCCTTCTCTAGACTAGACACCCCAAGAGCTCACATGACACGTAGCTGTGCGCTGGGCCAAGTGCCATCTTTGTTTCGGGTCTCCATGATGACCAACTGGATAAGAGGATAAAGTAAACAAGGAAAGACATTAATGGAGGGCCTTGTGGGCACCCAGCTCCTACCCAACCTGGGTCTGACCACTATCAGGTGAGTCCATGTGGCAGAACACCTGAGCTGAAAAGCTTCCTACTCTTACCTGCCCAGTCTCAATGGCAGCATCAAGCAGCGTAATGTGTGTGTTGCACAAGCGATCCAAAGAGCCTTCGGCATTCTTGATCCAAAGGCGTGTGTCTTCCTGGGGTTCCACCAGAAATTGCTCCCGAGCTGTGCGCAATATTAGGTCTGTGGAGGAAAATGAAGCATATTCAAGATCTTCAAAGTCCCACGATAATCAACCCATCTTGGCAATCCTGACCCATCCCCACTGACTTCACAGACTTGGTCAATACCTTGTGCCCCAATCAATCTCCAAATGACTGACCCACATTCAGGACATGAAACTCCCAGCAAATATCCTCAGCAACACCATCCAAGCCAATGGAATGCAGTTCACATACCATCAGGACTCCAGCAGACAGCCCCCAGGGCTTCCACCCACCTTGGCCAATGCTTTCTTGGTCCTCAGTGGTCTGACTGGTGCCTTCTCAGTTGGCAAAAGCCTAATCCCATGCATCCTTGATTCAATTAACTGTGACCCATAGCTAGGAACTCCAGCTCATCCCATGACCCTCAGACTCACCCACAGAATCAGAGTGGCTGAACTGAGCAGTGAGAGCTGTGTCCATGTCACTGTGCTGGACAAGCAGCAGCTCTATTGGATACACTTCCACCTTCTGCATGTTGGGCAGCTCTATGACCTGTAAGGGTAGAGAGGCAGACACAGATGCATCCACCCAGTAGATATGGAGCCACATGGGCACATGGGTCTGGACCCATCCTGGGCCTACAAGGCTTTCCTCCCACCCAACCTCCCAGGGAATCTACCCCACCCAACACCCTCCCCTACCCACTATACCTTGCGTTCAATAGGTGGCTGGCCATGCTCTATGCCATACCAGCTGACCAGGCAATGCCAGGCAGCTGCTGGAAGCAGCACATAATCCTCACCCTCCACCAGTCCCTCTTTGAGGCGCCAGTTTATCTGATCTGTAGGGTGAGGTGAGGGTATGAGGCAAAGGGGTGAATCAGGCAAGAACTAATAACTCTGGCCAACCCAGCAATGACCTAGCAGAGAATGGGCCAACAATCATCCATAGGGACAGAGGGAATAGGAACTCCAGGGCAAGGTTAAGAGGGAGGGGATAGGCAGGGGCCTGGTACCTTCAAAGAGCTCAGCATTATTGATGCAGCCAGGAAAGGTGCTGGCGTCCTGGTCCCCTCCCTGCACGTACACCTCCCACTGTTTATACCAGCGTTGCTCTACAAGGAACCTGGTGCCCAGAGAAGAAACAAGGGTATAATGTGATTATCTGGGGGTTAGCTGTACAACTTCCCATGGCTAGCAAATTTAAACTATCAACACATTAAAATTCAAGATGAAAAGTTTCAGCAGTATATAAAAAGTAAAAAAAAGCAAGGGCTGGGGTTATGGCTCAGCAGTAGAGTGCTCGCCTAGCACATGCAAGGTGCTGGGTTCGATCCTCAGCACTGCATAAAAATAAATAAATAAAATAAAGGTATTGTGTCCAACTACAACTAAAAATATATTTAAAAAAAGATTATATAAAAAAGTAAAAAGCAAAATTTATTCAGTAAAACTCAGATTTGGATATTAGATTAGCCATCTTCTTAGGACACTGAATGAGATCTTTAATTAAAGACTAAAACTGCTCAATAATGTCAAATAAACAAACAAAAAACAACCACAGTGCTGAGAAACATGAGGTTTTATTATAGAATAAAAGATGGGTAATTTGTATTAGTCACAAGAGATAACACTGTAACATTAGGCTCAAAATAAATAGTTTGCAGCTAATGTTGAGTATATAGTATTTTTAAAAGGCTAGATCAATGGAGGCAAAATTCTTCAGCTAAGAAATGGATTTGACTAATTTTGAAAATGTGCTCAGAAACTGCAAAGAATTTAAAGTGCTAAATATAATCATAAGGTTGTTTTTGGCATATCGCCATTTTTCATGTATTAGGTCTGTGGAGGATCATGTATAAGATTTATTTGGGCTTTTTTCCCCAGAGGCAAAATGATAAATTTTATTAATATACATTTACAGCTATTGTTCAACTTTATTGAGACATAATATTTATACATTTTAATTTTTTTTAGTTATAGATGAGTACATCCTTTATTTATTATTTATTTTCATGTGGTGTTGAGGATTGAATCCAGTGCCTCACATGTGCTAGGCAAGTGCTGTACCACGGAGCCACAATCCCAGCCCCAATATTTATACATCTTTCTTTATGACTGACATATTTATATAATATATAATGATTACTAGCTTTATAATAAAATGTTGCATTTATAACTAGTCTTCTTTTTAAAATTGTGGTTAAAAAGCCTGGTGTGGTGGCACACACCTATAATCCCAGCAACACAGGAGGCTGAGGCAGGAGAACGGTGAGTTCAAAGCCAGCCTCAGCAACTTAGCAAGGCCCTAAGCAACTTAGTGTGACCCTGTCTCAAAATAAAATATAAAAAGAGCTGGAGGGGATGGGATTGTGGGTCAGTGGTAGAGCACTTGCCTAGCACATGTGAGGTACTGGGTTCAATCCTCAGCACCACATAAAAAGAAAAATAAATAAAGGTATTGTGTTCATCTATAACTAAAAAAAAATTTTTCTTAAAGGGCTGGGGATATGGCTCGGTGGTAAAGCACCCCTGGGTTCAATCCCCAGTATCAAAAACAAAACAAAACAAAAATAGTGGTTAAAGAGAACCCATGTAACAGAAAAAATCCAACATCTTCAATTCCCAGTAACACACACACACACACACACACACACACACACACACACAGAGTTAACCATCTTAACCATTTCTTTATGTACAATTCAACTGCCTCTTTTAAATGAGAAACTTATATGCACTCCAAGGATAAACATTTAGGGCCGTGCTGAAATCTTCCTGCAAAATTTTGAGAAATTGTAAAATCTGGAAAAATACTCGATGTATATTAAATGTTAAATATATGATGACTGTTATTATTCTGATTCCAGGGCTTGAACATAAAAGCTTACAGACTCCCACATATCATATATACCCCTACTTTGGTATGATTTTTTTTCTTTTTTTGGTACTGGGGTTTGAACCCAGGGGTGTTTTGTCATTGAGCCACTTGCCCAGCCCCCCTATTTTTTTTTAGACAGAATCTCACTACATTGCTGAGGCTAGCCTCAAACTTGAAATCTTCTTCCCTCAGCCTGAGTCCCTGCTATTAATTTTCAACATATAAAAGGCTGTCTCAAATATTTAATAGCCTCACTTTTTAAGAAAATGGCCAAAAATGATAATACGTGTGCACACACACACACACACACATCACATTGTGTTAGTTGTTTTTCCTCATAAATGTGATTATTTTTTTGTTCATTTGTTTTTGGTGCTGAGCATTGAACCCAGGGTCTCATGCATACTAAGCAGGTTCTCTGCCACTAAGTTACACCCTCAGCTCAAAAGTGAGTCTTCAACATGTTAATTTTCCCTTGACAAGAGAGGTGTGGGGATGAAGGGACAAAACAACAACAACAACAACTTGAAATAGTAGCTGGGCCCAGGGGTGCTCTACTACTGAGCTACATCCCCAACCCTTTTTTATTTTGAGACAGGGTTTCACTAAATTGCCAAGACTGGCTTCACATTTGTGATCTTCCTGCCTCAACCTCCCAAGTAGCTGGGATTACAGGTGCATGCCTTCATGCTAGGCAATTAATGTACAATTTAAAGTCACAATGAGTCGGGCAGAGTGGTGCACACCTGTAATCCCAGCAGCTCAGGAGCTTGAGGCAGAAGGATCACAAGTTCAAAACCATCCTCAGCAACTTAGTGAGGCCCTAAGCAACCTAGCAAGACTCTTTCTCAAAATAAAGTTTTTTTAAAAAAAAGGGTTGGGGATGTGGCTCGGTGGGTTAAGCACCTTTGTGTTCAATCCCTGGCACCAAAATAAATAAAATAAAAAACAAAAAGAAAAACTTGGAATAGTGACAACTCACCTGAATAGGCAAACATTTCTGCAAAGCCTTTTTTTTTTCTTTTTTTGGTGAACTGACCACCCGCAGACCCTGCTAGGTCACTCATTCTGGGAAATATAGCCTCCTTCCACAGAGCCCCCCATCTCCCACCCTATCTTGCACCACAGACACCTTCATTCCCCCTTTGGGAATTTACTTGCCTCCATAGTCAGTCTATGAAATTCACTTATTTAGGAAAGCTAATTTATGTTTAGTGATAACTTTACTGCAAAAGGAGGAAATAATCAACTTCTTTTTTAAAAACAGAATTTTAACAAAAATTAACATTAAAAATCATTCTTTGTAGCCACATCCCCAGCCCTTTTTTGTATTTTATTTGAGACAGGGTCTTGCTGAGTTGTTTAAGGCTTCACTAAGTTGCTGAAGCTGCCCCTTGAGCTTGCAATCCTCCTGCCCCAGCCTCCTAAATTGCTTGGATTACAGATGTGTGCCACCATGCCCAACTATATCTTTTCTAACTATTTTTGATGTATTTCCCAATTTCAGAAAAATGTTATTGTTTAAAATGTTCTTTAATGACTAAACTGTCTTTGGAAGGTAACAAAAAAGATCTGTCTCATCACCCATTTAAAAGGACAACAGGAATCATCATGTTCATCTAAAATTCTCCAAATTTTAATTAACTTGAAATTGATATAAAAGTCCTCATTTTCCAACTTAGTATGTTACAAAGTGATACAACAAAAAGAAAGCTTATCTTCCTAGGTAATTACAGTTAATTATATAGAATGAGATACACTACTATAAATATCTTTCTTCAACATTTCTAAGTATAACCTTCTAAGAAATTGTTGTTGTCCCTTCATAAATCACTATCCATTGCTGCAACACTCTGAACCCAGCCACCCTCCCCTTCTTTCACCTGGACAAGGTGAACCCTGTGATTGCTTACCTTTGTTAGGAAGCTATGAACCGCTGCAGACATGCAAGAGACTCCCTCAGTTAACTCTGATTTAATCATGTTTGTAGAAGGTTCATCATCAAAAATAAAAATTAAAAATTCCAAGGAAACTATACTATTATATTTGAATTTAGTCTTAAAATGATGCAGATATAAATACTGACTCAAACCCTATAAATGGAAGGGAAATTAAAGAACATCTAGAAGCTTTGCTCTTATCTAAATAAATAAGCATTAAAAAAGTAGTTTTGGGGGCTGGGGATGTGACTCAAGCGGTAGCGCACTCGTCTGGCGTGAGTGCAGCCCGGGTTCGATCCTCAGCACCACATACAAAAAACAAAGATGTTGTATCTGCCAAAAACTAAAAAATAAATATTAAAATTCTCTCTCTCTCTCTCTCTCAAAAAATAAAAATAAAAAAGTAGTTTAGGGGACTGGGGCTGTAGCTAAGCAGCAGTGCACTTGCCTAGCATGCGTGAGGCACTGGGTTTGATCCTCAGCACCACATAAAATTAAACAAATAAAATAAAGGCATTCTGTCCATCTACAACTAAAAAAAAAATTGTTAAGTACTTTAGCAAAAATGTTTCTTGATAATACCCATGATATCAGACAATCTGGCTTCAATACTGAACCAATATTGAGGTGAAATTACACGTAATATAAAATTAACTTAAATTGAACAATCCAGAGGCATTTAATATATTCACAATGTTGTGCAACCACCACCTCCCTCCTGGCTCCAAAACATTTTTATCACCCTATTACTGATGGGATAATTTTAAACTGTATTGGCAAAGATGATAGAATTTCTTGTCCTATCTACCAATGACATAATCATGACATCGTTATAAAGGTCAGAAGGGGCAAAGACCAAATCCTTGAGGCCCCTTTTAACATCTCCAAAAGGGATATAAAATGTTCTGTTTCTTTCTTTCTTTTTTTTTTTTTTTTTTTTTGGAGAGCTATGATGTAATGGTACAAAAACATTGCTTGGCTCTGTTTTGCCAATTTAGTGAATCTTAACTTATTTCCCTAGTAACAGGGATACACATTTCACTAGTACTTTTATTAAAGAACTCTCTAAAGTAGGCAAACCTCACTGGAAAAGGCCCTAAGAATTGATGTGTTTAAACAACAGGAATTCAACATGGCTGGCTCTGGATGGGGAGAAGAAGGGGGTGTGTCATCTGAGTGATTCCAGAAGAAATCAGAATGGAAACAGGCAACCAGCCTCACAAAGGCCTGCAGGTTGCTATAAGAATTTTGGCATTTACAATGCAAAACATGGGAAGCTGCTGGAACATTTTGGGAATGGATGGACATGATGTATGTTTTAAAAAGAATCACTATTTATGTAAAGAGGAAAATGGTGTCTTCAGAATAGAAAAACCTGCCAGAAACCACCATAACCAACTGATCAAGGTTAACACCATGAATGTTATATATAACCATGTATTGTCTGATATAAGGGCTCACAGCATACATCCTGTAAAAGTTAAGCATATCTAGTAGTTTCAGGGATTTCGTTTAACTTAAAAAAAATTCTGATATATTTAATTTATAAATTTTAGACTGATATAATAAGAGTTTGGGAAAATTATAAGAAATGCTTTGTGATGTGTGTATTCCTATGTAAAACACATGGCTTCTCCTGTGTATATTTTTAAAAATTAAAGAAATGCACACTTTAAAAAATATAACTTCATATATAAAGTGTGATTTTATATATATGCTCCATACATAAAAAGAGAAAGTTTAAACAACAAATACTATTTAGGGATGCATACACCTATGGGAGAACATTCAAGAAAATGAAGAGACTCAATCCAAAATTCAAAAACGCATTTTAAAAAATTCAAGATAACAGTTTCTCATGGAGTAGGAAGAATTTCCATCTGGAAAGGGCACAAAAGGATTTTTTTGTGTTTGTGAATCTTAACCTGGGTGGAAAATTCACATATTTTTATTCTTAATTTTTTACTTTGAAAAAACTCAGAAAAATGGCAAAAATAATACAGACTTCCCATACGCCCTTCATCCAAACTCCCCAATCTAACATTTTACCTTTTGGCTCAATTGTTGTTTCTATATATCATTTCTGGTATTTTTATTTATTTTAAAATTGACAAAATTGTGTGTACTTTTAGTGTATAGCATGGTATTTTAATATATGTATACACCGTGGAATAACTAAATCAAGCTAATTAACATATCCATTACATCTAATAAATATTCTGAGCGACTTTCATGTATACAATAGATATCTATGAACTATAATCACCATATTTGTACAACAGACCTCCCAAATGTGTTCCCCTTGTCTAGCTTGAAATTTCTCCTGTGACCAACATCTCCCCAGTTCCCCCCCCCCCCCGTACATGCATTTTTACATATGCTATTATTTCAACCATTTGAGAATAATGTGCTTACACGATGGTTCCTTATCCCTAAAATTTTCAGTATGCATTTCCTAAAAACACGGATATTCTTTCATAACCACAATATAATTATCACAATAATGGAAACAGAAACATTAATATCTAATCTATCAACTTTAATCAAATGTTACCGATTTCTCCATGGAATGGTCCATTGAAAGAAAAAAATGAGAAAACCCGATTTTTAAAATTATTTATTTTTCCTGTTCTAGGATCCGTTGTATTTAGTTATCATGACTTGCTAAAATGAATTAATTCCTTTAACCTGGGACAGTTCTTCAGCCTTTATCTTTCACGACTTTGATATTTTTGAAGAGTACACAGTTTATTTTAAAAGGATGTACGTCAATCTGACTTGTGTAAACATTTTATACTATAATCTTTATAGGATCTTATGCGTTTAACAATTTAAAAGAGAGATGCAACTTGGCGAGAAATAAAATAAACCCAGAAGCAGTAAACTTTAAGCAGCAGTGATGAGGGGAAAAAAAATCAGTAGAAAAAGTCGATTTATCAGGGTAAGGTCCGTTTTTAAAAATGACGTTTTTCTCCTGATTATAAAAGCAAAATAATACTAAAATAGAAAACAAACTTAACATCGAAGGCCGCTCCAATGCTAATCACCTGCACTTTCTCCCGTCCTAGGAAGGCCTCCGCCAGAAAAACCCCATCACGTCACAAACTTTGCCCATTCACAGGCGCCATTTTCTGCCTTAGTAACCTCCCCTCCACCGTCTTTCCTTGGCCTCAGACCACGCCCCTCAGCCCACCTCACAAGACTAACCTCGTTCCCAGGCGCCGGGCTCCTTCCACGTAAGCGCTCGCTCCCTCCCCCGGCCCACAACTATTTGCTCCGATTCTGCTCTTCAGCTTACGTCACGAGGCTCGCTTCAGTCGCAGGCGCCTGGGAGCAATAAGAGGCTGCTCCTAGCGGCAGACGCTGCATTACGTAATGCAGGCCACGCCCCCGCCTTACGTTACAAAGCCCGCCTCCTTCCCAGGCTCCAGGTTCCACGACGCAGGCCCCAACCCCCATGACTGTTTCCTCTCAGACCCCGCCTCCACTACAACAAACCCCATTTTGTTCTCAGGCGTCAGACTGCACCACACAGGCCCCGCCTCTTTCCCAGACGTTGCGTTTCATTCACAAGCACTTCCCCGCCCCTCTCGCCCGCTGTCCTACCGGCCCCTCCCCGCAGCAGTTCTTCCACAGACATCGGCTTCCAAGTCCCCCGCGGTTGCCAAGGTCCCCGCCATCCCCTCAGCCAAAGCTTCGCTATAACCCAGCCTCACCAGCTTTCGCCAGCCCGCAGTGGACGTTCTCGCCCACTCTCGCCATTCTCGATTTGGCGCCACTGGTCGTCCAGACCAGGGATCGCCTCATTCTGTATTTCTCTGTCTTCAGCGGCCTCCGCGACGGCAGCTGCGGCCGGGTCCGCTGCGACCGCCGCCATCGCCGTCCGTCCTCTTCTAACTGCCAACGCAACTGAAGATAGGAAGAGGACCCTCAACTGCCACTTCCGGATTCTGATCCCGGAAACGGAAGCAGAGCCCCCCAAACAGTCAGGGGGCTCCTGCCATCTTGGAAATGGGCCCCTCGCTCGGACGCGTCGAAGGGCTAGGCGGGCATCGGGCGGTGGGCTGTGATCTCTGCAACCCATACACAGGGTAAAACCCCCAGTTGGTAACTAAGAAAGACAATAGTGCTCTCTGGGATTCTAACGCCATGTTGAGTTAGGGTAAAAGGTTGCCTGGAAGGCGGAGGCTGAGTTTCCCATGGTGGGCAAGGACATATTAAGGAGTGTTCAGGGAATCACAAAGGCCCCAAAGCTTTTCTGCTGATTCTCTGCTAAGTACTGCGGACCCCTATCCTGGGAGTGGCACTTTTGTTAGCCTGACCAGAGTGCCCTCCTTTCATTCTACAACCCTTCTCATCCATCAAGACCCAATGCAAAAGAGGTCTCCTCCAGATAACCACCTTGGCCTGCAGGCCATTTTTTTTTCCCTTCCTGAACTAGATTTATTCGGTAGACAAAAGTGATGAAGGCAAGTCAGCCCCAGGCTCCTGTTGTGTGTTGGAGTCACAGCAATAATAACTAGTAGTCTGCCCAGTTTAAGTGTGTTGTTGGATTTAAATAGTAGCCTCAGGCAGCAGGTACTATTATTTGCCTTCCATGGGCAACAGTGGGGGTAACTGAGGACCAGAAATGTTAACACATTGTCCCCCAGCTAATAAGTGCTGGAGTTGTAGTTCCAACTCAGGAAATCTGGTTCTAGAAGTGTGACCTTAAACACCAGGCCCGAGATTGTCAAACTGTGCTCCAGGGCTTTCTGCCCAGGAAATCCTCTCAGGGGTTTCAGAGTCTAACTATTTTCAAAATACTTTTTCACTCCTCTCATGTGTGTATTGTGGAAATATCCAGAGACTACCTGATCTAAACAAAAGGTCTTTAGGTGTCCTCAATATTTTTAAGAATATAAAAAAGGGATCCTGAGGCTGAAGTTTGAGAAGCATTGTGCTAGGCCAGGTTTCTTTCTCAGCCTCTGCACTACTGTCATTTCTGCATTGTGGGGAACTTTGCAAGCTGTTCAGTTACATCCCTGGCACTACTACTAGATAACAGTGGCACCCTTCAGGACAGCCAAATTTCTCCCTCCAGATATTATTAAATGTCCCCTGTGGGCGTTGTCCCTGGTTGAAAAACACTATGCTAGTTTATGCTACTATTTTTTTCTGTTAGGGCTCCCAGCTCTACTGGTTGGTGATTGAATTTTTTCTCTGTGGGGCTCTCTGCATGTTTATCTACCTGTTGGCAGTCCCCACCTGGCTGTCCCAAACTCCCCTAAGACAGGCTCATCAAGATTCCAGGACTGTTTCAGTGACTTCCTTCGCTACTATTACCGATTTACCACAGGCAAAAACCTTGCTTTTACACATTCCTAGGCCCATATCCATACATGTCTGTCTCCTTGCACAATTTCAATCCTCCTCACCCACACACAACCTCATAATTTATTTCATTTTCAGTTAACCTCTGTGAGACAGAGATTAATCTCTGTAACTCATACATAATTCCAGCCCCCAAACCAGACATGCCACAGATAAGGGGTCACAATACCCTGAGGGTTGTGTAAGCCCTGTAGGGGAAAAAGCACTTCTTTCACTTGGGGCCCCCAAAGAAAGTGGCATTTGAGTTGGATCTGACACATGACAAAGAACTGCTCTTCAAGCCCAACTGAATCTTGTCAAATTCACTTAATTTGCCCCTCTGCAAACTGTCCCTTCCCATTTACCTGGGCAACCAGGTAAATCCAAGAAGCCTTCCTTCCCAGCCCTAGACTTTTGTTTTTTTTTTGAGATACTGGGAGTTGAACCCAGGGCCTGGTACATGCTATCACTGAGCTACATCCCCAGCCCTAGTCTTGGTTTCTTCACCTTTCCGAAACCAGATTCTGCTCATACCAATAACCCTACGGATTCCTAGAGCAATTGGGTGAATTCCAGTTCTCTTATGTCTGGCCTGGCAATCTCATCCCCCTTTGCAAAGTCCTCATTTTTCCAGCCTCTCTTGCTGCCATAGGTGGCCCATATCTTCTGATTCTACCTAAGAGATGGATAGCACAGGAAATCTGCTGAGGAGCTTGTGAAATTTCCAGCCCTGTTACAAGAAAACAGGGTGTCCTGTTTTCCAGGCTTGCATTCCCATCTCTGGGGACATGGCAGCCACTATGGCACCATGAAACTACAAGTTGAAATACCATCAAAATGCATACAAGGACACAGTGGTGTGATTGGAGGTCTTCAGGTTACCACCACTGGGTTTCAAGAAAAAGCCACTTAATTAGGCTTACAATTACTTGCAGCATTTGCCTGCCCTGCCCACCTCACCACTTCAGCCTGTTGTCTATTCTTGATTCAGGGCATGTGAGCTAGAATTTACAGGACAGAAAAAACTTTGAGTAAATTAAAACCTCAACTATCCCCACATGAGGGTAAGTCCCAGTCTGGGACCTCTTCCCAAGATCGCCTCACCCATGCCCATGGTTTCCACTACTTCTTGGACACCAGTAATCCAAAACTTCCAGCTCTGTGATCCCACTCCTGAACTTAATCCATGTATTAAAGGATTCTTCCTCTACCTACTCAGAAGTCCAAAATCTAACCTTATCTCATTTCTTCTCCAATCAGTCCTGGTCAGATATGTGGTGGTCACACTGGGCCTCTTTGCTTCATCCCTACACCCTGGGGCTTTCAGTGTCCTTCAAACAGCTTCTCTACAGCCCCTGCCTCTACCCTGTCAGGCTCTTATTGCTGGATATATCTAACTCCTCTCTGCTTGATTCTCAGCCCATCAACACTCTTCAGCCTGCCCTTCCTGCTTCAATTGGATGTTCCACCATTATATGTACAATCTATCAGGTCTTGTTCATAATCACACCATGTCCCTGGCCTACTCCCAATGCTCTCCTAGATGATGGGGACCAGGTATGAATTCTCCAAGTTTCTAGAAATCACCCCAGCTTGAGCCCCCACCCCTTTACAGGGATTTGCAATCAGGCTTTTCACTTTAAACTTTTTAATATTTCATACAGCGATTATGGTGCATTCGGGAACCCAACCCCCCAAATCCCATTAGGAAGGCTCCCACCCTTGCCCTCCCACCCCGTTTAAGGGCCCCAAGGGCTTAGGGTAGAGGAAGGGGAGGTAACCACCCATCCAGGGATGACCCTGGAGACTGTCCCTGCCCTGTCTCACCCTCCCAGGGGTTAGGGAGCAACAACTGGGCACAAACCCCCCATGTGTCCCTCTGTCCCTGCTTATGCATGTATACACACTATGGCTCCTGGCTAAGTTGGTCAGTTCCTTCCTGGCAGGGCCCCTACTCAACAGCACCGAGTGAGACAGGGCAGGAGGGCTGGGCTGGGCTGGGGAGACCCTGAGAAGGAAGGAGGTCCGGCTACAGGACTGTAGGAGGGAAAGAGTGGGATCTCCCCCCACAACTTGTCCATCTCCCAGAGTCTCCAGCAATTTACAGATCCCCCTGCAGCTGGGAATGGCAGGCAAGGGAGGAAGGCGAGTGGCCGAGGCATGCTTTCCCATAGCCGATCCCAGGGTCTGGTGATGGTCAGGGTTCCAAATAGGGGCTGTGTCCCTGCCTCTCTGAAAGGCTGGGAGTGGGGCTTCATTGCACAAAATACTGTGGGAGGGCCTCCCTCACACAGGGGGTGGGGCCCAGCCAGTCTGTATACACAGATATTGCATTTAAAAAAATGAAAACCTCATTTAAAATAATTAAAAAATAAACAATGAATGAAACAAACAAACAAAAAAAAAAAAAAGGCCCACACAACATGAGGCAGATGGGGCAGGCAGGAAAGCAGGTAGAGAATGCCTCAGACCCAAGGCATTGCCACCTTCTTGTCTGAGTCAAGAGCCCCAGCCTGGGCTAGCTCCAGACCCCTGGCTGGCCATGGGGTAGTGGTCCTGGGAGAGGATATGATGAGGAGGGGTAGGCCTGGCCTCAGTGTGGGAGGCTGGCACGGCCATGCTGTCCGCCGGCAACTACCGAGACAGAGAAAGAGAGACAGACAGACAGACCAAGCAAAGGAGTGATGAGAGCTTTGTTAGCACCCAGCAGACAGGCCAATGGGTGGGTTGACAGGCCAATGGTTGGGTGTTTGGGCAGGTGGCAGGGGACAAGTGGGCAGGTGAGTGTGGCTCAGGCAGGTAGGCAGGCAGCAAGCAGGGAGGATACAGTTGGGGTCTGCCCTGTGAGGGGTGTGGCATCCCTCCAGCCGCTGCCTGCTGGGACCTCGGTCTGTGGCTTAGAACTTGGCTTAGAACTCGGTGTCCACCACACGGAAAGCTGGCCTGCCTGCAGGGGAAAGCAGAGCAGATGGCTGTTGGTGGGCAAGCAGGTAGGTGGGTGGGGCAGGGGCAGGGGCAGGGACAAGGGAGGTGCCACACCTACCTGAGTCAGGCATTGATGAGGACCGAAGATTGGCCTCCTTTTGTAGCTGGATCTCCTTTAGTGCAAATATGGAAGTAGCTGTGGGTGGAAGAGACACCTATGTAAGGGATAACCCATGGGGCCATCCAAGACCAGCCCCTGTATGGTCCCACTGAAGGAATTAGACCAAGTTGCCCATTTAAAAAAAAATATTTTAGTTGTAGATGGACACAATATTTTATGTATGTATGTGTGGTGCTGAGAATAGAATCCAGTGCCTCATGCATGTGGTCAACCAATGAGCTACAACCCTAGCTCTAAGTTGCCTATTTTTCAAGAGGCCTTTCATTCATCAAATAATTCCACACACAAACCAGCTACAACTAGAGAATATGGGATGTGGATTATTGCATGTTACAAAGAAGTTATTTTCAAGAGTGATAATGGTATTGCAATGACTACCTGTTAAGTCCAGGTCATGGATGGTATTTTAGAATCTGATTTAAACCATTATTTTGATAATGGGGATTGAGCTCAGGGACCCTTTACCACTGAGCTACATTCACAGACCTTTTTATTTTTATTTTACTGAGGCTGTCCTTGAACTTGTGATCCTCCTATCTCAGCCTCGGTAACCACTGGGATTACAGGTGTGTGCCATAACGTCCTGCATTTTTTATATATGATGTAACCCAGTGGGCCAATTGTTTTAGGTAAGATAACATTGTCTAAAAAATTGTTCATAGATAAATATGCCCAAATTATTTAAGGATGAATATATATCTATGGGATTGGATTTGATTCAAAATAATCAGAGGGAAGTAGAGAAAACCACATTAGCTGAGTTGATGAATTGTTATAGTACTTGTGTGAACTCATCATATTTTTTGTTTCTGTTTTTGTTTTTTGGCAGTATTGGGGATTGAAACCAAGAATACTCTACTGAGCTACATCTCCAGCCCTTTTTATTATTGTTTATAACATTTTGCCATCTTCTTGCCTCGGTCTCCCAAGTAGTTGGGTGCGCTACCATGCTCAGCAAAGGTTAACAAGCATTTATTGGGTTAAATGAATTTTCTTATTTTTAAAAAGTGGCATTAAAAATGGTCCTGCTGATTACCTCAGCTACTCTTACTTGGGAGGCTGAAGCAGGAAGATGGCAAGTTCAAGGTCAGCCTGGGCAACTTGATGAGACTCTGTCTCAAAATTTTAAAAAGGGCTGAGGATGAAACTCAGTGGCAAATTGCCCACGGTTTCAACCCCAATACCACAAACAAACAAAAACAACAATGGGCCTGGAATAACCAAGATGATGTGAGGGAGCTCAAGGGAAGCTTCTATCTTCATTTCTTGACTTGTGTGTTGGCTACATGGGTGTGCTTAGTATGTGAAAATTAACTGCATTGTACAGTTAAGCTTTGTGCATTTTTTAGCACATATATAAGGAAATGTCTTTTATGTACTGTATGTTTGAAAATTTTTGTGAAAGGTAAAGGAACTGAAAACCAAAAAAATATTTTAGTAAATACAACCCATTATACTGTATGAACAAAGATGTCTCTTTAGAGATGGCACAGCTAGAACCCTCACAACCAGCTCAGCTGTCCCAAGGAGTCTTGTTCCCCACAATCCCTGCCCCAGTTCATCCATTCTCCAACTCTACTTACTGTCAGGAAGTTTGTGGATCCGCTCTCCCAGGCTGAGAAAGAATGGATGTTTCATGGCATCCTCTGCGGAGATCCGATTGCGACCCTCAAACTGAGTTGGGGGGAAGTAGGTGCATTAGTATTTTCAATGAGAAGGTCTCTCCTTCCTGCCAGCCTCAGAGCCCCTGGGGGTCATTGTGTCCCCATATCTGGAACCTCCCCACCCCTAAGACTGGTCCAGGAAAATGGTCTCACCTGTAGCAGCTTGGTGAGGAGGTCAGCCCCATCGCTATCAAGTCTACCACAAGGACAAGGGAATCTGTTTTACATTGAGTTTGGACACTCTGGTCCCTAATGCCCACCCCACCCACCAGCCTCACCGGGGTGCGTGGCTCAAAAGGGCCTCAGCTCGGTACTTGGGGTAGTTGTATGTCTTGAACTCCTCATTAGACAGGATGCCTGGCCATGTCTCCTCAGTTGGGGTTCCTAACAGGGAGGAGTTGTTTGATTCCAAACATCTCATATCCTCCCTTCATGTGCCCATAGCTCCTAGGGCCTATGCATTCCTCACCCAAGATGCGGAAGATGAAGTGCAGCTGCTCCTCCACCGTGGAGCCCGGGAAGAGGGGCCGGCCTGTGGCCATCTCATAGAAGATACAGCCCACACCCCTGGGCAGGGAGGGCACAGTGAACAGGGAGGCAGTTGGCTGGGTGGCGTGGCTGCAATAGCCACCCCCTTCACCACCTGGCCCTGCTATACTTCCACCTCTCCTCACCACATGTCAATCTGGGTGGAGTAGTCCGTGGAACCGAGAAGGATGTCAGGGGGCCGGTACCACAGTGTCACCACTTCATTTGAGTATGTCTTCGTTGGGATTGACTTGGCACGGGCCAGGCCTGGGCAGCAAAGAGAAGGGGCAGCTGGAATAAGGAGATCACGGGCAGTGGGTAGAGGGTGTCCTAGGCAAAGTTTAGAAAGGCTGATGGGAAATGAGACTAAGTGGCCATGGGGAAGGGGAGTGGTGGGAGAATAAGGCTGCGGGAAAGAGAGGAAGAAGGGGGAGGCTGGTGGTACCAAAGTCAGCCAGCTTGAGTTCTCCCCTCTCGTTGATGAGCAGGTTCTGGGGCTTGAGGTCTCGGTGTAGCACCTTCTGCCGGTGGCAGTAGGCCAGGCCACGGAGCAGCTGGAACAGGAACAGCTGGGAACCCAGGAATGACAGGCAGAGGTCAAAGGATATCCACCAGCCCAACCCCCAGCAGGCAGGAACTGCTCCCTCCCAAACACATTGAGCCCAGAGCTTTGTTAAACAAAAGAGGACAGGCACCCAATGTCAAGCATTCCCAGCAAAAAAAGTCAAATGGGAATGGCCATTTCTGGAAGATTTTGGGGGTGCAGTGGAGTGAGTGGGTGGAGTCCCCCTCCTGTCCCTGCTTCTTGCCCCACACCCACTTTCACGTTGTGCATGTTGATGACATTCCCACAGTCATCCAGGTACTGCTTCAGGTCCTTGTCCTGAGGAGAAAAGAGGCAATACAGGAACAGCATCACATCCAGAAGCTCTTGGCCATCTCCCCACCTCCCTCCAGGACCCACTGCCACCCAACCTTACCAGGTACTCAAAGACAAGGGTGAGGGACTTCTCCGTGTGGATAATGTCATGTAGTGTAACAATGTTGGCATGCTTGAGGTCCTTGAGCAGGGACACTGCAGGAAGCATGGGAATGAGATGGAGCAAGAGTCAGAGTCCCATTCTCAGGACAAAAGTGAGGACATGGACCAGATAGGGATAAGCCCAGCATTTCCTTCTTTCCCCATGAGGTAACATCTCACAGCAACTGGCTCTAACCCACCCTATGCCAGGAAGGTGCCTCCATGTTCCAAATGTGGAAAATAAAGCGCAGAGACATGTACGAAACAAGAACCTTGGATTGCTGCACCAGGTTCATAAGATACTAGGTTTTTACAGTCTGATTTTGGTTTCTGGGAAGGGGAGTTGCTCCAATCCTCAGTATACAGGCCTGTAGCACAGTGTGAAACTGAGTTTTCATGCTTACTTTCTTACTTTCTTTTTTTTTTAGAGGGGGAGAGGGAGAATTTTTTAATATTTATTTTTTAGTTTTCAGTGGACACAACATCTTTATTTTATTTGTATGTGGTGCTGAGGATCAAACCCAGCACCCCACGCATGCCAGGCGAGCACGCTACCGCTTGAGCCACATCCCCAGTCTTCATGCTTACTTTCTATACAACGCAAATCCATTCCAGGTGCTATTCTGAACACTTTAAGGGGTACTCTCAGAACCAAAGCAGGCACCATGGTTTGCAATTCATTCACCTTCCCTGGTTCATTTACAGATTCCTGGTTACTCTAATACCTGGATATGTGGGTGATGGGCATTCTCAGGAAGTCCAGAGCATTGAGAAAGGTTTCCCAGAACCTCTAGTTTTTATCCTCACCATGGAATGTTTGTGTGCCATGGGGAATAACCCCCATATGAGATGGGGTCTGTACCTTCCCGGATGGCGGTGCAAGGTGCCCCCTCTTCATGTTCCAGTCTGATTTCCTTTAGTGCCACAAGGTTGTCTGTGAGCTTGCTTTTGCCTTTGTAGACGGTGGCATAGGTACCCTGGGGTGTAAGGAAGTGTGACAAGAGGTGCTATGAGGCTGCAGGGAGTTTCTACTGACCTCCATCCCCACCATGGACCTTTTGGCCGTCTCTCACCTCACCCAGCTTGTCCAACTTGATGTAGGTCTCCAGTTTCCCAAAGCCGATCTCAGACTGTGGGATGAAGGAGGCAGGTTGAAGCAGGCCCAAGGGATGGCATTAGGAGAGGAGCAAGAGGAGGAGAGAGCAGGAAGAGAAGGTGCTCACCAGGCTGACGCGGCGGAGGCGGCGGCTGAGGGGCTTGTCAAAGATGGGGCTATTGAGGGTCAGCTTCTCAAGGTAGCCCTCGGGCAACCGGATGTCGGCTGGGAGTGACAGGCGCTTGTTGATGTCCTAGCAGGCAAGACAAGGGAAAAACAGGACCATGAGTTCTACTTCCTCAGACCCAACCCCTTTTCCAGCTCCTCCATCACCAAGACGGGGGTTAAGCACCTCAGTGGAGATCTTGCGTGGGGGATGGTTGCGCATGCGCACTCTCACTGGAGACTGCACCTCATCCGAGGATGTGGCTGAAGCCTGGTCACTCTCCCCATCTGACCCCATCTTCAAGTCCTCGTGCACAATCTCTGGTGGTAGGGATGGGGGAAGGCAGGCCAGGTGGGGTCAAGAACACCCCCCTCACACACACAACACATTCCCTCATCATTCCCATGTATGCACATGGCCCCAGGAAACAGCCTTGAGTCCCTCAGGGACAGGGTAGTGGAGCCCAGGGAAGCCCAGGTGGGCCTAGAAGAGGTTGAAAGGGTGTGTGGGGGGATGACAGGCAAAAGTAGTCACCTAGTGGAGCACCTCATTCCAGGGATGAGCGGAGACTGCGGCTGGCCCAGGGCCAGAAGGCAGGTGGCAGCAGAGGTAACCAAAGGCCCTAGGAAGGCAGGCCCCGGGGCTGGCAGAGTGCCAAGAGGCCTTAGGGCTATCATATCACAGAGTGCAGAAGGGCAGAGGGAGTCTTGGGGCAACTCTAATAGGCAAGGTACCCTTTCCCGTGGAGCATGGACACAAAGCCAAGGAAAGGAGCACCAATGGAAAGACAGACAGTATGTTAAGAAAGAATTGTAGGGAAAGGGAGAAAAAGAAAGGAAAATGAAAATAACACAAGTCTAAGAGGAATTTGGCTGGGAGACAGCACCTGGGGACTGGGAGCAAGGAGAAGTAGTAGTCAGTGGACTAACCTGGTGCAGAGCTAAGTGGGCCCCGTCCAGAGCGAGGTTCCCCAGGGGCAGCACGTGTTGGAGCCTCTCCGAGGTCGCTGCCACCACCACCACCACTCTCATCCAGACCTATCTGCTCAGGGGCACCATTGGTCTTATCTATGCCTCGGCCCCCTCGGAGTGTCATTGACAGCTGCCGTTTGATCTTCTTCATCCGATCCATGGCGACCTGAGCAGGGGACATGAATAGAAATGGGTCCCACATTAGCATTTGCTTGACTACCATGGGCACACTAAAACCTATGACAACCTATTGGGAGTACTGATATAAACACTCCTAAGTAGCCCACCTGGGTACTCAGAATTGGGTGGCTGGCTGAGGGCAAGGGCCCACCCAGTAGATTGTTGGTCTCCACGGTGGCAACCTCACTGTGGGAGCAGAGGGCTCCACAGCAGGCAATCTCAGGTGCAGCGGTAGTGATGGACCCAGCCACAGGTGGGACAAGGGGCTCGCCCAGAACTGAGGGACCAGTGACATAGCCCCGGGCGCGCCCATAGAATGGCATGTTCCGCTGGTACCAGCCCCACATCGCCCCCAACTGCCAAGGCAGAATGCTCCCTGTGGCTACAAGGACCCTCAGGACTCCCCCAGCAACCATTGTCATGGTGACTAGTGGACTACCCCACTGCTCTACCCAGATAGGGGGTGCGGAGTTCCTGTCCAGACCCAACCACTGTGTGGAGTTGGGAGGGGCCATCTCAGTATACCCTAGTTGTCCTCAGAGCTGCTGGAAAGGTTCAATCCAGTTGGGACCCACAGTGTCCATCTCAGATTTTCACAAGCCAGGTCACTTTTTTCCCTCTACTAGACAACGTACATTTTCTTTATCACCCCCCAAATTAACGCCCCAGTCCTCAATGTGGCCCTTATCTCATTTGCCCCTGTTACCTCTCTGGCCTCACCTCCCCCTTGACCATTCCCGGTTGTCATCGTACAACTACACTCAGCAGTCCTACCTCAGGGCCTTTGCACTGGTTGTTCCTGATACCTAAGACACCCTTCGTGCAGAATGTAAAATAGCTCACTCCCCACCCACTTCATTTCATTGCTCAAATGTCACCTTCTTCATGAGACCTCTATGAATAACCCTATTTAAAAATCTCAACCATCCTGAAGTAGATCACCCAGCACTTATTATCTCCTTAGAAATGACACCATCTATTTATTGGTCTCTTTGCTCTTTACTGTCTATCTCCTCACCACAACTAGATAGTAGCACCAACAGGATAGATTTCTGTCTGTTTTGGTCTCACATATATCCTGAGGACCTGAAATAGTTACTGACACAGAAAGCATGCTCAAAAAGTACATATGACAGAAACAAATGATCACATAGGACCAACCTCTGCTGAGGTGGTTGAGTCCCTGCTACTCATGAACAACCCAAAAAAAGGTGGCCCAGAGATGCTGGTCCAGGAATATGACCTAGATGGGCTGCTAGAGAGAATGGGGCCATCAAAAGGTTTAAGCTGGCCTTCTTCTGCTTCCTCCTGGGCTCTGGGCCAGTGAAGAGGGGGAAAGACCTGGCCCAGGAACCATCTGGACTAACAGCAGGGACTAAGATGGCCCTGGGCCCAAGGGAAGTAGAGCTAGATAGGAGGTCGAGGATGAGGCTGTGGCTGCATTTGAGAGAAATGGGTCATCTGTTACCTTGAAATCAAGTGCTTAACTCAGCAGCTCCCACCCCTGCTTCTGTCTGGCTAAACTCACTGCCCTCAAGAAGGGAAGAGGGTCTAGCCTAACAGAAAGACCCAGATAGAGGATGAGGTCCATCCACAGAGAACCCAGGATATCGACAACAAAATCCTGACCTGGGAGGCTGAACACTGGACCTATGGCTAAGGAAGGTAAATCATGGCCAGCTCCCAAAGACTACCTTGTGTCCCCATATGGCATGGATACCCATTGCTTTGAATGTGGTGACAGGGAATGGGGGAGGGGTTGGAGAAACTCTAAGTAGGGCTGAATGGAAGACAGAGAGGGAGACAAGAGTAGTCATGACTTCTGGAACCCTCAAGGGCTAGATACGTTATGGCGTTCCATTTCTTGAAAACTTTAGGAAGATGTGGTAGGAAATCTGTGTATCATGCAATACTCCCAGTGGTGAGTTTAGAGAAGCTAAGCAGGCCCCTGTGAACAGACACTTCAACATTTATATGCAGCAAAACTATTATCATTTCAGTTTTGTGGGCCTATAGATTTTGAAATAAGTGAAGAAGGGGGCAAGAAACTGGACATATAACTCTACCCCAAAAAGGGCATATGCCCAGGGGGCTAGGGTTGTAGCTCAGTTGTAGCATGTGAGGCACTGGGTTCGATCCTCAGCACCACATAAAAATAAATAAAATAAAGATTCTGTGTCCATCTACAACTATTTTTAAAAGGGCATATGTCCTTTATGACCCCCAAGGACACACACCTATCCTCCGACTATTCTCATATTGAAGGATATTTGCTACCTCATAACACACAATCCACTGGGGACAGTTATTATTACACTCTATTACTCCCATGGTCATATAACTCCTCATTCTGACCGTCATGGGCACATACCCTCAAGAAGGTCTCACTACATCTTAACTCCCATTAGCATCCATGATTTCTCTAACTCCACTGCAGCATTCAAAGCCCTAACTTATTGCACTAAACACCGTTGGCAAATGCTCAGCCCCTCTAAGTAATTCTTGGCACCACATTCATAGGCCCCTCCCTGCCCCAGTTTCCTGTTAGCTCCTTCACTTCACAGTACCGATCCTCTATCAATGTATGGTCCCCCCCCAGAATTCTGGCCCACACTAACATGCACTTGGGACGCTCTACAGCTGACCTGAATTAACACTCACTGAACCTTCACACTGCTCTAGATCTCAATAGCACAAAGTAAACCTTGAAGATCCCTGACTGGTTTTGCCCACACTCAGGCCCCTTCACACCTATGAACATTGTTAACATACATCTTGTCAAGTCGTTCTACTACCCTATCCCTTCCATCAGCACAAACTGGACCTTCATTCCACCCTGACCCCTATTAGCACACACATAGCCTTACAAGTCCTGCCTCCCCATTAGCACACCCTGAACCCTTACTCAGCCCTATTCCCCAGGGATACACAACACACTGTTCTGTAATGGTCTGACCGTCATTAAGTGTACACAGCTCTCCATTCAGCCCTGACCCCCATTAGCACACACTTCAGTTCTCCATGGCTCTAATCCACTTTGGCACACCTACACCATCACATATTACTGACCTCTGTTTCTCATTGCTTCAATCCCTCCACAGTTTTAACCCTTGTTGGTTCACACTTACGCCCTCTTCATAGCCCTGCTTCCCCCTATTATACACTAGATGACCTCCACAGCTCTACCACTGTTCCCCTTGAACCTCAATATATTCCAGTGCCACACCAACACACATTGTCTTTACAATGTTCTGACACTCCTTATATTCCAGATTTCATATGGCTGACTCTCCCCCAGATGGTACACATTTACATGTCTCTATGACTTTAAACCCACATTAGCAGTCAGTCACTAGAACTTTATATACAGTATTACCCTGCACTTTCTGGAGTCTCACATTCCCTTTGTGGACTCACACCTCACCTTGACCCTTAGTGTGCTGAGCTCTTACATACTAAGACACTTCCCTCATCATCATCCTCCTTCACACATATATGCAATTCTGATACCCATTAACACAAGCCCAGATCTTCTACCATCCTGTCCCCATTACACACCCTTGGCATACACCAGACCTCACACTATCCAGATCTTTATTACTACATGCATACACCCTTAAGGCCATGACCCTCTTTAGCACACATTGGGCTCCAATTATATGTCCCTCCATGAGCACACCTTGGACCCTCACACTCTATAGCCCCACCATTAACAAATACACAAAATTAATACCAACTTGACCCTTATCACCACACACTAGGCCTCTTAGCCCTGATCTTATCGCCACACTTTCTGTTACCTCCACCACCCTGTCACCTATTAACGTATACTGGGCCTCTGCAGCCCAAACCTCCACTAGCAAGTCCTTAGAGTTGTCCCGGGACCCTATCCCCTAAACAGACCCCAGATCCCTCAGGGACCTGCAATCCCCTTCCATTAACACACACTGGGCCTCAAACCTTATATGCTCCGACCCCTGCACAGCTCAGGCCCCCATTACCAAACCTTGAGTCTTTAGCTACTCTGTCACTCATTTCCACATCCTCTGGTCCTTTAGTCACCCTGCTCCCCCTTAGCACCCACAGCACTTCCCATCCCCAGCACCCAGGACGGGCCCAGGGCGGGGCCAAGGTCAGGGAGGCCACAAATGACCCCCCACCCTGATGCATTCTGGGAAATTCGCTGGAGGAAGGGGGCACCTGCCAGTCTGGCAGTCCAGACCCCGGGGCGCCGCCCGGTGTCGGGGTTGGTTCTATAGAAGGAGCAGCCCCCACCCCAGGTCTTGGAGACGCGCTCACCGGCGGGGGCGCGCGAGCAACCTCAGAGCCGCGGGGCCGGCGCGGTGGCGCCTGGGGCGGCGGCCCAGGATGAGGCCGCGCGACCTCCTTCTCCTCCAGTTCGCCGCAGGCGCCCGTCCCAGTAGTCTTCGGCCATGGCTGCTGGGCCCGGGCCGCCGCCGGCTGAGGAGGAGGAGGCGGCGGCGGCGGCGGTGGCTGAGGCGGAGGCGGCGTCCCGCTCAGCCGGCCATGAGCTTGGCCGCTGTGGGCGATGCCCCCGGGCTCGTTGGCGCCCGCTGGAATCTGAGTGCTCACTGCGGCTCGAGGCTCAGAGCCGACTGCTCGCGGAGACGCGGCGGATCCCAGGGCCGAACAGCCAACGGCCCAACCGCCGCGCGCGCTGCGCTCCACGCATGCGCACGCACGCGCTGGAAAGGGTGAAGTGGGAAGGAGGGGACTCACCTCTGACTGCTTGTACCAAAAGACGCGTCCGCAGCGGGAGGGGGCACGGCCATTGCGCGCCCACAGGGGAATGTGGCGCCGGCCCTGGAACGGCGCCAGGGGTAAATGTGGAGGTTTAGTACTCAGTTTCGATCTTGCCGAGGTTTGTTAACGCCGAGGTGAGCAGCAGCCAGTGGCCAGGCTGCTGGTCACCACTCTCTACCCCTATTCGGTCTCACTTGGTACATTCCCATGGTGGCAAACGGGACTTTTGCAAGGAGGAAAAAAGATGAGACAATCTGTTCTAGTCCCTTGAGATGCCCCGGGAGGCAGGAATTTTAAAGGTTCAAGAGAAGATGACTTTTCTAAAAGAGATGGCCTGGATAATCATTGGCTTTTACCATCTTAGATAGGACAGCCTAGCCCCGCCCTGCTGCCTCCCCCCACTGCTCATTCCCACTGTGAACGTGTGCAACCCCGCCCTTTGAGGTTGTCTCCAAGCCAATCGGATTTGTTCCCTGTGGTGAGGCAGAGCAAGAATGAAGGGCGTGGCTGAACTGAAGAGGCGTGACTTCTCCTTTCCTCCTAATCGCCCCTTCTCCTCTGCCCGATTCTCATTGGTTTTCACCGGGGTGGGGGGAAGCTCTTTTTTGTTCTGTACTCCTAACTACAGGCTGAATATTCCGCAAGGTGACTGGTCCAAAGAACATTCAATCGGGGACCATCCCGCCCTTAACCCTTCCTATCTCCTCCGACCTCTTGGGGTGGAGCCTAGGCTGAGAAGAAAGGTGGACCTTTAAATGGGCGGGCTCCACTACTGCGCAAGCTTGGAACTTTGGGTGGGGCGGGGCCTCCTCCTGTCTCCCGGGAGCGCATGCACTCTGAATTGCTTTTTCCAGCCACCTCAACTCCGTCTTGTCCGCAGTTCCCCTCCGTAGCTTTATTTCTGTTTACTGTTCTCTGTTGTGTGCCAGGCGCTGCTAGGCATACCTAATCCTTCACTTCTCTCTACGTGGAAAAACTACACTATCCCTAAGTCCAACTCAAGGGGCGGCAGCCTTTGGGCGGGCCTTCTGGGACTTCCTTACACTGCATCCCAATTCAAAAGCAGGCTCCCTGCCTCTTCTGAGCTTCCCTTAACGGCAGCCTTGATCATACCAGTTGGGATTTTCATTAAAGTTCATGTTAGTAAGGACTTCCTGGGCCATGATGGGGGTGGAAATATTGACAAAGACAAATCACCACCGCTGGATAGACGTCTCCTACCCTTTTTCCTCTCTTTCACTCCAGCCGTATTTCCTTCAGTTTCTGAATAAGGCAAGAACAATCCAGGACTTTGCACTGGTTAGTTCCATTTGCCTGGAATGCCCTTGCCCCATATATCAGAATGCCTCATTCACTCGCTTCTTCCAAATCCCTCAATCAAAGTCACCTTCCACAGGATGACTTCCTTAAGTACCTATTTAAAAATCCTTTATCCCCATAACTCCATATCACCAGACCTGGCTCTGTTCTTCACCTTTCTGAAGCACCAACGTTTTCCCCCATCCGCAGTGCTGGGGAGGACCTCAGGGCCTTGCACATGCTAGGGAATCCGGTCTACCACTGAGCCACATTTCCAGCCCCAATCCACTTCCAACAATTTACTTATGCTATTCTGGGTTGCGACCTAGCAGAACGTAAGTCCCCAGAGGTCAGAGTGGATTTTTTGTCTTTATTATTATTATCTAAGAGGAAAAGTTTTATTCTGAAATTTCACAAATCATTTCCTTACCCATAATTAAAGTCTGGTCATTGCTCAATGTTGGTACCACTAATCTGATTGAAATCTGAATAAAGGGAGGGAGATGGGGCTGAGGAATGCCAAGCCAAAGCAAAATTCCAAGGGAGTCCCTCACATCCATGTTGTTGTTTTTTAATTCACTGCTGGATCCCAAATGTGTGCAACAGTGCCTGGCACATAGTTGGTACTAAATAAATGTTGAATGTCTGAATGGCAACTAGTTTCAGGAAGAGGTAAGAGGAGACATCCTTGTCCCACCTGTCCATTGTCTCTGCTGGGTGCAGAGGGCTCAGCAGTGACCCAACTGGGGCCATCTGAGCCCCTAGTCTTCTACTATTTGGCAGGTACAACAGTAGACAAACACAGATAGTAAAATGGTATGTGGGAAAGGAACTAATATACAGCCAGGATTAATGGGTAACTTCAGAAGCTGGTTTTGATGAAGGGCAGAGTATCAGGTATAAGGTATCAAGGGGATCAAGGAGCTGTAAAAAGGGCTGGGGAGCTGGGTGCAGGAAGATCACCAGTTTGGGGCCAACCTCTACAACTTAGCAAGGCCCTAAGCAAATTGGCAAGATTGTCTCAAAACAAAACAAAAATTTTAAAAAGAGCTAGGGATATAGCTCAATAGTAAAGTGCCTCTGAGTTCAATCCCCAGTACCAAAATTAAATGGGGGAGAGGAATAAAGCATGTGTGCAAGCCTCATTTGTAACAGGAGAGACAGTGGACAGATGTGTGGAGTGCCTGCCATACATGGAGCACTAATATTGGAAAGGTGCTTGTGGTGGCAGTCTCTCCACTTGACCTAGACAGCTACCACCACCATTAATCGGACACCAGAGGTAAAATGCTTGTTAGCCCCAGTGTCCTGGTGAGGACTAAATGGGAACTATGGAAGGATGAGGTCACCCAAGCACAGCAGACAAAAGGGGAAAAAAATGGTCATGAGAGGGAGGTGGTCAATGGCATATACTGTGCCTGGGGGCTAGGAGCTGGCCCAGGAGGCATCAGGTGTGGGGACAGGCTGTGATGGGAACCTAGCCAGGTTCAGGAATGTATTGAGATATTCCCAACACTCAGTTAAGTGGAGAAATGAGGGGTCTTGTTTCTAAGGAGGGCAGAGAAACTGGTTCCTGAAGGAAAGGAACAGATTTATGAGTGGTATCCTTAGGAACCAGGCACTAGTACCAATGGAGGAAGACACCTACCTATGTGATAGTGGCCAGCCAGATTGGTGTCTTCAACTGTCTGGAGCGCTCAGCCAAGACCAAAGCCAGAATATGGCAACTCTATAGTCTGCAGTCCCAGTGGGGGTGAGGGCAAGCTTCCTCCTGCTTGCATTAACCAATGATTACTTCTCTGCTCCCATAGCCAGGTCTCCCCTTGAAGATTAGGAAGCCTGAGCACTCTCAAGAAGCATACAGGCAGATGTGGAGCCAAGGAGGGCAGGATGAGACAGAAAAGAGGCTTTTCCTCTCTAGACATTCTCAAATACTTCCATAAAAACTGCACAGTATGTCTGAAGGCAGTGACATTCCTCACGCCAGCAGGGCCATTCAGGCTCCCTGGAGCAGAGATCTGAAGTAAAGGCACCAAAGCCATTGCTGGTACCACCAGGAATCTTGTAAAGGCCTACCCAGTGTCTGAGTACTTGGAGCCAGATGGGAAGGGATCTACCCCAAGGACACAAAAAACACTGACCAAGCCCTGGCAGCCTGCTTGCTCAAACTTTCCTCTTTGCAGTTAAACTGGAGAAGGTAGGATTTGAACCCACCTCCAATCAAACTCACATGGACCCAGGTACCTACTCTATGGCCTCACTGGTGCCTCCATATTTTCATAAGAGAAAAGAGCAAGAAGAGGTGGCAACTCTTACATTTACTCTGTTAGGAACTTGGCAGCTGGCCACCATCAGAACCAAATAGCTCCAGGAAGCCCCTCCTTCCCTGGAACCAGCAGGGCAGGCCACTTCTGGGTTAATATCTTTTTATTAGGAGTCAGGTTCCAAACAAGGTAGAAAGCAGTGGCAATTGGGATTCAGGTAGGGGGTGAAGAGGAGACACCAGGCTTGGCCAGTTGGGCCACTGCCAAATGGGAACCCAGGGATGGAAGGGACCTGGGGAGGGGGGACTGGGGCCAGCCTAGGTGAGTATAGGCAGGTCAGCGGATGGTGTATCGTACATAGGGGACTTCGACGTCCTCGCCGCTCTCGTCGTTGCAGCACAGCTCAAGCACCAGCGCCCGCACATGGCGGCCCAGCTTTCGCTTCGACACACGGCTTACGATCTCTGTCATCCTGGGGGTGAGCGTGAGGGTAAAGGTTCAGGAAAGCAGAAAGCAAGAGAAGAGGGGAGGTAGGTGGGGGCAGAGCAGGTGAAGGGATGTAAAGTATCCCAGCAGAGCTGGGAGTTGAGAATCCCCAAGAGACACAAGACCTCCCCTGCTGACCCAGCAGCCAACTCACGGCTGATCCAACCGTTCCTTGAGCTTGGCAGCTGGCATGAAGAAGGAATAGAGCATGGACACACCCTGGGACAGCATGGTGATCTCTAATTTGTGCTCTTTCTGGAGGGGAGGGATGGGGGACAACAGTGTCAGGGGAATGGACAGGCCAGCAAGTCACCTGCACATCTCATCCCCAGGAAGGATAAAAGAGTAAGGGTCCTTACCTTAAAGTAGTCTAGGAACTGTTTGAGGGTCATCTCCTCACCATTAGGCTGCAGCCCCTGTACCTCGAAGCGATCCCACAGTGTCCACTCTTGGTTATAGTACTGCAGCACAAGGAGGGGAGATTAAGATGAGGGTCACCCCAGAGGGCCAGCCCCTGTCACCTCCATCTCCTTACACTCATGTTAAGTCAGATCACAAAACTCTTTTGTTAAAACTCTCTCATGGACCCCACATCACTCTGAGTAACCTGCAAAATACTCTTACTGATGACTGACAAGATCTTATGCCACTGGAACCCTATAGTCTTCTCATCTCTTACCTGCTTCATCCTCTGACCTAATTCCCCAACATGCCAGGCATTACTACTACTTCAATACCCCTGTGCAAGGACTGGTCCCCAGTCTCCACCAAGGCCTGCATGGCTTATCCCCTCTCCTCCCCCAAAGACGTAGCTAACATATCAGTTTTTGCAGCAAGATATTTCCTGACCATCCCACATTTCAAACCCCAAACTTCTGGCTGAGGCTGGAGCTGGAGCTCAGTGG